TGGCCTGTGGCCCATGTGTCCTATCAAAGATGGCCTGTGGCCATGTGTCCTATCAAAAGATGGCCTGTGGCCCATGTGTCCTATCAAAAGATGGCCTGTGGCCCATGTGTCCTATCAAAAGATGGCCTGTGGCCCATGTGTCCTATCAAAAGATGGCCTGTGGCCCATGTGTCTTATCAAAAGATGGCCCGTGGCCCATGTGTTCTATCAAAAGATGGCCTGTGGCCCATGTGTCCTATCAAAAGATAGCCCGTGGCCATGCGACTCTTCAAAGATGGCTATATAAAATATATAAAAAAATAAAATAAAACAAAAAACCACACTAATTCTAATTTCTTTTCTATTTTAGGATCTCCAGGATTCACGACCGGTGGGTTTACTTCCTCTACCGTTCTTTGGGGGTGGGCTCCGTCCCGGTGGAATATTATTCCAATTATTATTATATCTTGCTGGGCTATCAATAAATGTATTTATTGTTACAGTATTTATTCTCCCGAGTCTTTCTGGTAGAACTAAACTGATGGTTTGCTCAGGCTGTTGATCTGCTGAACTTCAAACAATGCTATAACTTCTTGCTTTCCTGTATTCTGCTTCAGCTCTCTTTCCCTTGGTAAACTGTATGGATGTATGTGTATGTTAGAGTAGTTTAAATGTTTAGTCTAGTTAAGAAAGTCTTTTTCATATCACACGTAAAGTTGTCCGTGTCTCAAGCTCATATCTGGAGTCACTAATCATAGATCTTGACTACTTGCTCTTAGTACTTAGTAAAAAACACATTTCCCATGCCCCGGAAATGTACATTTCTATTAATTAATTAATAACCAATATTGAGTGTTCACGGGATGAACCGAGTAATTGGTTGTAATGTTAATGTAGCTACATCAAGTTGACCCGATTAACTGATCCAAATATTCATAATCAATTATAACAAGTTATGATTGATTATTAATATTTCATAGAGCTAGTTTGCTACCTCCTTCAGATTCCCAGATCCATGTTGGTGCTTCTTCTCTTCAGTTCAGCCCACTCATTTTCTATAGGGTTCAGTTTAGGGGACTGGGAGGGTCATGACAGAAGCTTCATTTTGTGCTCAGTGACCCATTTTGGTGTTGATTTTGATGTTTATTCTGGACCGCTGTCCTGATGGAAGATCCAACCATGGCCCATTATAAGATTTATAGCAGAAGGCGTCAGGTTTTGATTTTTGATCTGTTGGTATTTGCTAGAATCCATAATACCATGTATCTGAACAAGATGTCCAGGACCTCCAGCAAAAAAATAGGCCCACAACATATAAGATTCAGCAGAGTATTTAACCGTAGGCATGGGGTACTTTTATCTCTTTTTGCACCAAACACATCTGGTGGGTTTGCTGCCAAAAAGCCCTTTTTTTTGTTTCATCTGACCATAGACGCCGGTCCCGTTTAAAGTTCCAGTCATGTCTGACAATATGCTGGAGTTTATTTTTGGACGAGCGAGGAGAATTTTTCTTGAAACCCTCCCAAACAACATGTGGTTGTTTGATATATTATTTTAGGCTTTCTGACCCCAAGACTCAACTAATCTCTGCAATTCTCCATCTGATCCTTGAAGAGTCTTTGGCCACTCAAACTTTCCTCCTCACTGTGTATTAAGGCAATATAGACACACGTCCTCTTCCTGGCAGATTCGTAACATCTTTAGTTGATTGGAACTTCTTAATTATTCCCCAGATGATCAAAATGGGGATTTTCAATTCTTTAGCTATTTTCTTACAGCCACTTTCTATTTTGTGATGCTCAACAATCTTGTACTGCACATCAGAATTATTTTCTTTGGTTTTACTCATTGTAATAGATGATTAAGGAAATTTGGCCTTTGTGTTTCCTCATATTTATACTCCTGTGAAACAAGAAGTCATGGCTGGACAATTTCATGTTCCTAGTCACCCTGGTGTGCTAAAAAAAGGTAATTATTAATGGGAATATACTTCAGAGATATTTTACTCATAAAAAATTCTATGGGTGCCAATAATTGTGGCCAACGTGTTTTGGAGAAAAATATTTATTTCATAATGTGATTTCCCCCCCACTTTCAATTCCTTTAGGCTACTTCAATGACAGGTTCGATTTTTGCTAATTTTTTTAATGAAAGATCAAAAGGATAAACAATGCAGATTTATTTTTTACAGCCATGTTTGATCATATTTACCAAGGGTCTCATTAATTCTGACCACAACTGTATTACATATTATTAAACATATATTTCATAGCTTTTCAGTAATTGTCAAGAATACTCAGACACAAGAACGAGATGATACATTGAATACACACAATGGTAAGTTTATTGACACTGCAGGAACTAAGCAGATGAGTAATGGCAGCAATATAATATAATTATTCTCAAAATATTATAATTTTAGGACAGAATTTGTAAGAAATCATTGTAATTTACAACCGTTTTGAACGAGGTGTTTGGCATGTTCAAAACCAGAGAAAACGCTATGCAGTTGGACATTTGGCTCAAATTCTTATGGTTTAAGAAGTTAATTTAACTTCATATGACAACTAGCCCCAGTGTCCCTTTTACATTTGAAATATAATTTTAGTCCTTACTCTATTTGTTCTATTTCTGTTCATGTAGCTCAAACTAGGCCTATGGCACTAGCAGTGTCAGTGTAATGTGATCAATCCCCAGGGAATACATGAACTTGTAAGCATGAAATACCTTAAAGTCGTTTTGAATAAATGTGTGTGACAAATGTATAATGCCAAGCCCCTGAAAAGGGTTCAGGCAACAAGTGAGAAATTACCAAACAATACAACAGTTCCATCTAGTGTTTGGTTTCAAAGGCTAAAAGAAAAGCTCATTTCCAGTGGATAATGTTGCTGCATTTTATTTGTACATGTATGCATGTGCTGTCTCTTTAATGTTTAATGCTCCAAGGTCAGAAAAGATAATAGATTTCTACTGGCAAAATAGGTCTGGTCTATGTCAAGGTGTGTTTTAACTAATTTAAAGGTTTAGATGCTATGGGAAGAATCAAGCGATGTTCAAGGACTTGTATTAAATGAATGTTTAAATACGTGTTGTTAGTGTTAGCATTCCCCAAACTGGAGGTCAAATGCTAATCGCTAAATGAGGTCTACTTTCTCATTAGCTATAGAGAAAAAAGACAATTAGCATTCATCTTTCAACGATGTTGCATACCATTTTCAGAAAAAATAAGAAACAGAAATTCAAATTACATTTTTATGTAACGTTTCGCATTCTACCATTGCCATTTTTTATTTACAGTAGTGGTGACTTCAAAATGACTCTTGAAAGACTAAGAGTTATGGCTTTCTTGGTATTCCAAGTTTATATTTTGTGGATGATAAACAAAACGGTCATATCTTAATTGCAAAATGTATTATCCAAACAACGAGACATTACATTGAAAATACGATAAATGAAGTAGTAATTGTGAGAACAAAAGGCACATTTAAAATACCAAAACACATAATGTGTTTAATAAATTGTAACGGTGACAACAATAGTGTGCAAAAACTGCAATAAAGCTTTTAGAAGGCAATATTAGTGCCTGGAATAAATAACATTTTTCGTTTCTTTGTTGATCTTACATCATGCCAACAGTCATTGGCTCACATTCAAGCACTCTTCAATCAATATACATTTTACATTTGCACTGCATTGTTTGGCACTTTGGGCCTTTCAGCTTGAAGTCCAGGGCAGTCAGAAGCCTGTGAGCATTAGACATCAGCCAGCAGTGAAGGAGAAGAGGTCAATTGAGCTGATATTTAATGTTTTCAGACCTGTTCTCTTATGAACCTTTAAAATGTTTTTTTATGCTGCAGCATCCAAGTGCTTACTAAGAACATATACCAAGCACATTTCTAGCTACTTACGCTATGTTTATTTTCTGTCCTTGGATTTTATTATTATTATTGTTATTATTTTTTTTTAAATTGTATTTACTAGTGAGCTTTGTTTTCCCCCAGTGAAAAGACTAGCTTAGATGGTTTTCAGGCCTTCCCGCTTGTCTCTCCAGCGCAGGAATTTTTTTTGATTATATACTAAAATATTTTAGTATTTTCTAATATTAACACGGGTCCTGAAGCTCTTGTCTGATTATAACCCTTCTTTTTCCAGTGATATTCCTCTGACCTTTTCTCTTTTGTAATGTCTCTCAGCCATCTCTTTTTTTTTTACAATCTTTCTTCAAATCTCACTCTCTCTTCTCCTTCATCACGAGAGGACACGCCCCCTACTGCTGATTGGCTACAAAAGTGTTTTGGCGCTCCGTGGATCAGCCCGATCCACTTTGTTTATTCTCCTATTTACACAGCCACTATGTACAAACACAATGTTTTTTTCAGCACTCGCACAGAACAGACATCCTTGTTCAGAGCCACTTTTTTAGACATGGTCCATTTTACTCATCTGCTTCCCTTAAAAAAAAAAAAAATAACAACAATAATAATTAAATCAGCTAAGCAGTACATTTTATCAGACACTGTATTAGCCATGGTTTATTTTTGCAGTTTTTTCCATGTCTTTATTTAAATAATAAAAAAAAAATTAAAAAAAAGGGGGGCTGCATCCAAAATCTGCGTGTGTGTGTGTATTATGGATGTAATCCGGACATAATATACATTCTAAATAATAAATTATATATAAAAAACAATTGTTCCAGGGGTAAATTGGAATTTACAATAAATCAAATTAAATAGGCTAAGTGGCTGAAGTGTCTATTTCAAAGCAGTTTTGCTGAGTATACTCTGTGTTCTGTTGTTAATGATTGATAATATTTGATGAATTCGGAAGGAACTACATACTACTCTTTTTTGCCATTGAAAGATATGGGGGAAATGGTAAATGTAGTATGCTATGCTAGTTAGCATACATTCTGGCTGCGTCTTGGGGACGTTGTTGCAGTAGTATGTTCCTGTTGGCGTATTTTGGAGAGGGGTGGGGGCTTTTGTTTTGACAGCGATGTGTCCCGGAAGTGCTTCGCTCAGACTGCCAACATCACACACTCGGCGGCTAGTTAGCGACCAGTGTGGCGATACTGCGGAAAAGGTGGCAGACTAGATGAGTTTACCGCGACGAAACAATGTTGCCGATTTAGGAACCACCATGTCTTCAACCGCGGCCTGAGATCAGAGAAGCAGACCATGACAACCGTTAACAAATCTGTTATTTTATGTGGTTATTCGCAGACTGATTGTCATGATTTTAGCCCTTGCTAAGCGTGACGTGATTCTGTGTGATTAAAGTTGAGATAATCGATCAGGTCAATGTACTAAGAGCTCCAAAACCGTCTTCACAGCAGATCAGCAGTGCATGTTCGTTTTTAATCGTGCGATTTGTAAGGATAGATGCAAACAACTTATTAGCTAACCGGCTAGCTAATACACTGACTGGCACCAAACATCGACCGATTGCACAGGATTTGTTGTTAAACTCCTGGATCTTCAGCAGAAATGGATGACTTCAGCTCCATCAGTCTGTTATCTCTGGCTATGCTAGTCGGTTGTTACGTGGCTGGAACTATTCCCTTGGCTGTTAACTTCTCTGAGGTGAGCTTGAACCCGAGTTGTCCATGTCTACAGTAAGTTAACGTTAGTTTCTTTAGGACAGGTGTACTCAATATTCAGTGTGAGCTTCGGGGTGTTTAGTTCTCTGCAGAAGAAGATGTGTTTGAAAATGCAGACATCTATAATATGCAGTGCTGAGGTTTTCAGAAACAGGTTTGAGATTTGCATTGATCTTCAAATGCTCGAGCAACCCCAAGGGCAAATGGTCTTCTAAGTTTGAATGTTATATCAACCTAAAGTTTATACTGTAGACACGAGCTGTTTAACCTGCCACCCACGCTGATCTTGTTTAAACAGGCGTCTTTTGTCTTAAAATGCAGTTCAGGTTGATTTTCTGGACAAGCTAATTTTATGGTTTATGATCCACCAAAATGTGTTGTTTTAATGACTATACAGTATAAATAGCAGTAGAATGTGCTCATACGCGGAATATTTTTTTTCTCATAATAATTTTCTACTGTTATATTAATAGGTACACTACAATTTAGAAAGGGTAGGTCACCTAAAAATGAAAGTTATGTCATTAATTACTCACCCTCATGTTCCAAACCCGTAAGGCTTTTTGTTCGGAACACAAATGAAGATCTTTTTGATGAAATCTGAGAGCTTTCTGTTGAAAGCTACGCAATTACCACTTGATGCTTGAAAAAGTTCTTAAAGGGGTCATATAATGGTACATGCACTTTTACAAGTTGATTGTACTGAAATGTGTGTTGGGAGTGCCTTTACACAACCATCATAAAATGATAAAAAAAATCCATCCAGTGTTTGTTTTAATCTCCTTATATGTTTTCCCCTGCCTCAAATCAAGCCGTTCGACCTTGTGACGTCACACGCTCGGAAGCCCCTCCCACGATTGTTGATTGACAGCAACGTAAATGGAAATGTCAAAATGTCAATGTTCCAACACAGACCCGCCCTCGCTAGTGAGCGAGCTGTCAACCATAGTCTGCGCGGTCATTGTTGATATGCTGGAGCACTGTCTATGAGCAGAATGGCGTCTAAGCGATTGTGGTGTTCTGTTCTTGGGTGTAATAACGAACACAGCAGTCATTTTAATGTTCCTAAATCTGAACCGCTGAAGACGCAGTGGCTGAGTTTGTTTTCGAAGGGAATATTCCCCACGAGCAACGTCAATGCTCTCATGTTTGCGCGAATCATTTCTCACCAGACTGCTTTATAAACGAGGGTCAGTATAAAGCTGGTTTTGCTAAGTACCAGCTATTCGTGTTCCTGCTGAATCTCCAGAAGAACTGAAGTGAGTGTAACGTTTTATTAAACTTTATCTTAATATTTATATTAATCTTTGCAAATCGCTAGCTGCACGCTTCACAATGAATGCGTCTAAAGGTTTACACTTAGGGTACATTTACGGCATGTTTTCTATGTATGATGTTCTCAATATAATTCATAATCCCACGTTTATACTGAACAACGCGTTATGGTTATTGTGTTATTGTGTTACAAGTGGTGTACGCACAGAACAGAGAGGCAGGGTGAGCAAAGCTCATTATCATTTAAAGGCATATGCACTGAAACGCCGTGCTGAAAACAGAGCTGTTTTTGACCAAGTAAAATAAGTGTTTTCTTACAATACTAATGAGAATTTGTAATTAAAGTATATTACAAACTTTTAATTTAGACCCTAAAGAATCATATTAGCTTGTACAAAAAGGGCATTATATGACCCCTTTAAAGAGATCGTAAAACTAATCTATATTAATTGAGCGATTTAGTCCAAATTTTCTGAGACATGATCGCTTTATATGATGGAACAGATTTAATATAGTATTTTATTCGCATCAACGATCATAAACAGAAGCTCAACCGAGCCTGCTTGACGCGTGAGAACAAACCTCTTGCAGAAGCTCAAACGTACAGCGTAACACGAGAATGAACCTCATTGGTTCTTGCAGAAGCTCAAACGTACAGCGTAACACGAGAATGAACCTCATTGGTTCTTGGTGAAGCTCAAACGTGCTGCGTAACAAAAGAATGAACCTCATTGGTTCTTGCTGAAGCTCAAACGTGCTGCGTAACACGAGAATGAGCCTCATTGGTTCTTACTGAAGCTCAAACGTACTGCGTAACACGAGAATGAGCCTCATTGGTTCTTGCTGAAGCTCAAACGTACTGCGTAACACGAGAATGAACCTCATTGGTTCTTGCTGAAGCTCAAACGTGCTGCGTAACATGAGAATGAACCTCATTGGTTCTTGCTGAAGCTCAAACGTGCTGCGTAACATGAGAATGAACCTCATTGGTTCTTGCTGAAGCTCAAACGTGCTGCGTAACACGAGAATGAACCTCATTGGTTCTTGGTGAAGCTCAAACGTGCTGCGTAACAAAAGAATGAACCTCATTGGTTCTTACTGAAGCTCAAACGTACTGCGTAACACGAGAATGAACCTCATTGGTTCTTGCTGAAGCTCAAACGTGCTGCGTAACATGAGAATGAACCTCATTGGTTCTTACTGAAGCTCAAACGTACTGCGTAACACGAGAATGAACCTCATTGGTTCTTGCTGAAGCTCAAACGTGCTGCGTAACATGAGAATGAACCTCATTGGTTCTTGCTGAAGCTCAAATGTACTGCGCAACACGAGAATGAACCTCATTGGTTCTTGCTGAAGCTCAAACGTGCTGCGTAACATGAGAATGAACCTCATTGGTTCTTGCTGAAGCTCAAATGTACTGCGCAACACGAGAATGAACCTCATTGGTTCTTACTGAAGCTCAAACGTACTGCGTAACACGAGAATGAACCTCATTGGTTCTTGCTGAAGCTCAAACGTGCTGTGTAACATGAGAATGAACCTCATTGGTTCTTGCTGAAGCTCAAACGTGCTGCGTAACATGAGAATGAACCTCATTGGCTCTTGCTGAAGCTCAAACGTACTGCGTAACACGAGAATGAACCTCATTGGTTCTTACTGAAGCTCAAACGTGCTGCGTAACACGAGAATGAACCTCATTGGTTCTTGCTGAAGCTCAAACGTACTGCGTAACACGAGAATGAACCTCATTGGCTCTTACTGAAGCTCAAATGTACTGCGCAACACGAGAATGAACCTCATTGGTTGCTGCTTAGTCTCACGTAGCCAGACCTTCAGACTGACGGGAGAAGTTCTGGACTCTATCGCAGCTTTTCTTGGCCAAGGACCGCGCAAGAGGACGTTTGACTGACATGTAACGCGACCAATCACAGTTCGTTTTGTTCCGCATCATGTTTAGGGGCTTGACAATATAATGTCGATGTCCCTACAATAACAGACCGGCGAGCATCTAATAAATTATTCATTCATAACGTTGTGCAAGTTTACTGCAACAATGGAGCCGCGAATTTCACTTTTGAAAATCCAGCGTTTAGTTGATCCTGGTAAGCGCTTATCGTCTTAGCTGTAAACACAAAAGGGCTGCAACAAACGATTATTTTGATAATCGATTAATCTAACAATTATTAGAACGATTAATCGACTAATCGTCGATTATTTCGCAGACTAATCAGTAAGTTTGGAACGATTATTCAGCTTTTCCAATTAGTTAAAACATTGAGTTATACATATTCTAACTATAATATAAAAAAAGAAAATCACTTCAGCTTTTGAAATAGTTGTTTTAATGAACTTTGAGCCAACTAAACAGGTCATTCTCTTTAAGTTTTCAGATTTCGGTCCAACTCAAATCACACACAAATGCTCTCTAAGCATTGTTTAATAGGCCCACTGCTTTTCTTAGAACTGAAACAGAAAAAGGGACATTTACTTCAGGACACAAAGAATGGTAAAATATTAATCTGCAAACAATTATTATAAGTATAAAATTACAATCTTTTTTTACATGACAATTGAGCTGACAGAGACGTTCTCATTCACCTTTTAATTTATAGTATGATAAAGTAACTGCCATGATATTCTTCCTATATCATTGGAAGGATATAACATCTCGTTTTGTAAGTCTTCATGATTATTGAACAAAATACAGGCAAGTGATAAGACTATAATAATACCTAATATACTAATAGTGTTACAATAATAAAAACAGCCCTGACTCCTAAGCTCGATCAAGCTTTATTCTATGCAAAATAAGTCATCACATTACTGTAATTATATTACTATTGATAATATTATTACTATTATTAGTAGTATTGCATTCTCTAATAAAGAGAGATTTACCGCTGGTTAGTAAGCTCCAGCTGGAGAACACTCACTTCTCACCGGCTCCTCTTTTGCCGGGATGTTTCCTCTTGCACTCCAACATGCATGTTGTGCTTTTTCACGGGAGAAAAGCAAGTTCTGCTTTGCATGTATTGCACACGACAGCATTCTTGATTTGAAGTTTTGTGAAACTTTCCCAAACCTAAACCTTGCTAGTTCGGATTCGTTTGCACTGTCATAATTCGCGCTGTGTTTTCTTCTACCGCAATAGCATTTGTAAGGGCTGCACTACACTCTAGCGCTACAGCGGCGTAGCGGTCAAATCGCGATATTGCAGGCCCGACTACCCGACAACAAAGATATTTGTCGACAAATTTTTATTGTCGACATTGTCGACAACGACGACTAATCGTTGCAGCCCTAAAACACAACGGCTTTCTTCCACGAGGGGTTATGGCCTCATGGCATTTGTTTCCAGGCGGACCGATAAAGAACGCGACACACACGCGTCTCCCGGACATCCTGTAGAATTCAACCAATCAGATCGCGACTTCGAAACTCCTGAAGTGTTTCCAGAAAAGGGTGCCATATGCATCAGACGTTCAGCCAACGGTCCGTGGCCGTGAGGCTGAGACTAAGTGCTGCTTAACACGAGAATGAACCTCATTGGTTCTCACACGTCAAGCCAACATGTTTGAGCTTTCATTTACCACAACTGATGTGTGATTTGATGAATGTTTATATGCGAATAAAAACCTAAATTCAATCTGTTTTAAAGTGACCGAGTCTCTTCAGACAATTTTGACTAAACTGCTCAATTCATATGGATTAGTTTTATGATCTCTATATGAACTTTTTGAAGCATTAAGTGTCAGTTGCGTAGCTGTCAATGGAGGGACAGAAATCTTTCAGATTTTATCAAAAAGATCTTCATTTGTGTTCCGATGATGAACAAAAGCCGTATGGGGTTGGAACGAAATGAAGGTGTGTAATTAATGATAGAATTTTCATTTTTGGGTGAACTATCCCTTTAATATTTTGTGATGCTGATAATCTCAAAATGGCAAAATACAGCCTTTTTTTAGGTTCAAATGAAGTTTATAATTCAGAAATGTGATTGTACCTGCTGCATGCCTCTTCTGATGAATATATGTTAATGATATCTGGGTTATTCACATGAAGATGACCAATGTTAACCTCACACCTAAATACATAAAGTGTAGCCCGTATGCTTACTGATTCTGCGGTTCGTGTTCTGTCTCCAGGAGAAGCTGAAGTTGGTGACGGTGTTGGGAGCTGGGCTGTTGTGTGGCACTGCACTGGCTGTCATTATTCCAGAGGGAGTTCATGCACTCTACGAGGAAATGCTGGAAGGTGACATTCAAGTTCACACTTCGGTTAATGCATTGATTCCTTTTCTTAATAATGCAGAATGTATATCAAAGTTTTGGGCAGAGTTCTCCCATGCGTAAATCCAAAACTGATATCTAGAAGTCTATCTGCAGGAATGCGTTTATGTGTGGTAGACATGCTACTTTAAATTATGAGTAGCTAGTAGCTTTACAATCTAGAGTAGTTAAGCTATAGTCAAGCTCTTTTTTTTTATTATTGCTTCACTTTAAACTACTAACAAAAGGTTTCTGGCTATTTTGTAGTTATCTATATTAAATGCATGTGATTATATAAATTCTAATTGAATTAGACCTGTATTATTTCTGGCACAAAAGAGCAAGGATTTTTTAATTAATTTTAACGGGGCTATATGTAAGAATTTATGTATTATCATTGTTTTATTGCCAATGTGTGGACAGCATGTAATGAAACTTAAAAATCTACACCTTCCCCGGTTTCCTAGGTTGTCTATGCAAAGCCTGTAGACAAATGTGTATGTGAAGGAACATCAAACCGTTTTGATGTGTGACGTTTACGTGTGCTCCCGAGAGCCTCTCTTCCGTTCAATGGCACATGAAATGAGTGATTATACAATGTTCAGGATAATGCCGAAATAAATCAATTTTCTTTGCATAACATATTGACATTGAAGCCATTTTCATTGCATAACATATTGACATTTATTCAAACTAACTATAGTCTCATGCAGCCAGATCTGTATAGATCTCAAATATACTTTATAATCAAACTATCATATCAGTGTAATTTTAATGATCTCATCTGTCGACATGATGCCGGTGAATTGCGGAGCTGGTGCAAACATTTCCACATCTCTATGATCAGATGCTTTCTTAAAGGGATAGTTCACCCAAAAATGAAAAATTGACATTTACTCACCCTCAAGTTGTTCCAAATTTCCGAGTTTCTTTCTTTTGATATTTTGAAGAATGTGTGGCCATTGACTGCCATAGTTGGAAAATAAATTTTTGGGTGAACTATGCCTTTAAAATATTGTAGCATTTAGCTGCACCACTAATTCGCCATTACTGTCGTTAAGGTAGTAGTTCCAAAACTCAGTTTGTCCCCATCACTGATGTTATGTATGAAAGACTTCTAAAGCTGTACTGATTCCTGTTTTGGTGTAGGTGGGCACCACCATGGCCATGGGCAGGTGGAAGCAGAAGTTTCTGATCAGAAGGTTGCAGACGGAGTGGTGGGACCCAGCAGTGAACACAGCCACAGTCACGAGCAGCTCCACGCTTACATCGGCGTCTCTCTGGTGCTGGGCTTCGTCTTCATGCTGTTGGTGGATCAGATCGGCAGTGCTCACATGCACAACAGTGATGGTCCGTGTTGACAGATTAGAATGGTATAAACTGATGGCATAATGTGTCTGAAACTGTTCTCTCCACACTTTTAGATCCAGAAGCAGCGAGGACTGCTAGCTCTAAAGTCACCACTACGCTTGGCTTGGTTGTCCATGCTGCAGGTAAAACTGATTGAAAAAACTGGTAACCATACATCTTTAATTTAGAGATGCACCGATTACAATTTTCTAGGCCGATTCCGATTTTCATTGAGTTTGACCTGCCGATACCGATTTTAGCCGATTCCGATTTTATTTTTTCTAACCACTTTTTTTATTTTCAATATTTGTGTTATTTATAAAACACCATATACTTTTACCCAAACTGAATAATAAAAACAAGTTTAAATGGGTAAATTTTCTATAAATATTTTCTATAAAGAGTCTTCATTTTAATTTCTGACAGTTTGACTCCAGTTCTTGTTAAAACACACTAGACATGCAAATTCTGTGCATTTTTGGCACTTTTTGTGTGAAATCATATTTATTTTGTCCATCAAAAGTGTGCTTTCACTTTAATTGAGCGTGAGCAGCGCAGCAAAAATAGACTCGGCTATAAAAATGTGATGAAACCCACCACATGGTGAAATTTGACATATTACAGGGTTTTGAGACCATATTAAAGCTGGGTTCAAGCCCTTTCCAAATCTGTTTTTATTTCTTTTATCATTTGTCTGTAACAAACGTTGTGGTTATCTGAAGTCGGCTGATCGCTATGATTTTCAGAAACGGAATTTTGAGAAAAAAATCGGTTTAATTAACTGTCACGTCCTGCTAGCGGGGACGACTGTCGCTCTTTTTCTATTGCCTTTTTTTCATATCACATATTTTAGTAATCATCATAGATTAGGTATCATTCGAAAGCTTACGAACTCAAAATTCATCCTGTGAAAACCGTTTTGAAATTGGACGATTGAGAGGCGAGCAGGGTCTTTTAGGCGAGCAGCTTCAGACTCTGTTGTTCTCTTGTGCTCCGCATCACACCACACGATAACGCTGGATAAAAAACCTCTGCTCCGCCATGCGTGTTCTTAAAGAGAAAGACAGTGTTTTCAGCTTGCCACAATAAATCGCTTTTTTTCTGCACTAAACTAGTGAATTTTCCCAAGATATATTCAGAGATGATAAACAAGATGTTATAGAATAATAATTTATTGAAAACCCAGTTTTGACAAACTGACATTCAATCTATTTTTAGACCTTACTGAAAACTAGGGGTGGAACGGTACACAGAAGTCACGGTTCGGTTCATACCTCGGTTCAGACATCACGGTTCGGTACGATTTCGGTACAATGGAGTGAAAAGCAAAGCAAAAATGCAGAAGGCATTTTTATAAATGTCTTAAACCTTGTATTTTTTTAAATAAGTTTTATTAATAAAGGCATAGAACCAGTTTATTTGTAGTGCACTGACAGTAGTTTTATATAATTAGTTTATTAATTAAATTATTAAAAAGACGAAAAGACCTTGAGATATGTTTGGTAATTGTACCTGAATGAATTTAAAATTAATTTGCTATTTCAGATCAAGATATTTGTTTTCCTTCATTTTAATTAACTAACTTTATTCTCATCTGAATTATAAATAATTGATTTCCGTATAAAATAATACTACCATAAAAACTTTTGTTAACAGTTGTAGGTTACAGTTTGACAAGAGTTTAGAGTGTGACAAAAGCACAATGTTGTGTTTTATTGCGAGTGTACACAAATATAAGTAAACAATTTGCAGTTTTAATGATGTCCTGTATGAAAAAAATGACGGAGTATGTTTTTACGTTTCCACTGTTCGATCGCCCGTGCCTCTCTCTCTCACACACACACACACACACACACACTGTTCATCGCGCGATTCGTGCCCGCGCCTCTCTCTCTCTCTCGCACGCGCGCGCACACAAACACACACACTGTTCATCGCGCGATTCGCGCCCGCGCCTCTCTCTCTCTCGCACGCGCGCGCACACACACACACACTGTTCGATCGCGCCTCTCTCTCTCTCGCACACACACACACACTGTTCATCGCGCCTCTCTCTCTCTCTCTCGCGCGCACACAGACACACACACTCCTGCATTGCAATCTTGATCGCAGCCTGTTCATTGCTGCGTTAACAGTCACACCAAAAGCGAATAGAGCGAAATTTATCGCTATTTAAGAGGGTTTTTTTTTTATTTGTACCGTGTATTCTGCGTGCAAATTCGTGCACCGAACCGTGACGCCCGTACCGTTTCGGTTCAATACGAATACATGTACCGTTCCACCCCTACTGAAAACGTACCAGCGCGACATCCGACGGGTTTTCCCAGATCGCATCACAAATAGACTCATGCGACACTCCTGCTCGACGCTCACGCGCTGCTCCAGGTGGGAATGCACTCGTTGATTAACATGCACGCCGGAAAAAATGAGCGCCGCTTGCGGTGTGAAACGGTCGTAATTCGCAAGGTTTCCTACATCTAGGTTCTGTGTGCACGTGTGATGCTGATTTTGCGTGATGTTAATCATGCGGCGCCCGAGTGCATTTGACCGGCATAAAATCGGCATATGTCAGACTTGACCGCCGATCATGGCCGTTCACGTGAAAATCGGCCAATTCCGGTCACCAGCCGATCAATCGGTGCATCTCTACTTTAATTGAGATATCCAAATGTGTTCTATGTAGTATGTTATTTTGGAAGCTTCAGATTGTCATTTTGTCATATTTGTAATGCTGTACACTACCGGTCAAAAGTTTGGGAAAATTAGGTGGGTTTTTTTCCGTGTTTTAAAAATAACTGGTTTCTATTTGAATACATTTCAGATGTTATGCACTTGAAGGCTGTGTTTATTTGATAAAAATAATTCAAAATACTAATATTCTGAAACGTATGGTAGTTTATATTAAATAACTGTTTTCTGGGTTTATATGCCATTACTCCAGTCTTGAGTAATATCTAATATGCTGATTTGGTTCTCAGTTGTTAGCAAATATATTGGTGCTCAATTATTAATAATGGTTCTCATTAATATCGATGTTGAAATCAGTTTTGGCTGCTTAATAAAAGTACTGTTTTTAACATCGATAATAAAAAGAAATATTTCTTGAGCAATAAATCAGCATATTAGATTGATTTCTGAAGGATCATGTGACACTGAAGTAATGATGCTGAAAATTCAGCTTTGCCTTCACAGGAAAAAATATATATATCAAAATATTTTGCAATAGAAAACAACTCTTTTGAATTGTAGTAATATACATTTTTTTACTGTATTTTAATCTAATACATGCAGTCTTGGTGAGCATAAGAGACTTCTTTTAAAAACATGAACAAATCTGAATTATTCCAATCTTTTGAGCAGTAGTGTATATTCTGTGTTCTGTAAAATCTGACCAATAATCATATTTGATGTATCTGTGGCTCCAGCTGATGGTGTTGCTCTCGGAGCTGCTGCATCCACGTCTCAGACCAGCGTCCAGCTCATTGTGTTTGTGGCCATTATGTTGCATAAGGTACAGTCAACCTTAATGAAGTTAATGCACTTCTACTCTAGCTTGTGTATTACTCTAGTGTTCTGTGAATATAGTTATGATAACCTGTTGCCGCTGTTTCTCATTTGTATCGATTTGTTTAGAAAGACCTGCTGAATGACTAAATGTAAATGTAAGCGCCTTTCCAATTGTGTTTCCAAATAAATTCTCCAAATATTTCGGAACGTAAACACAATATATTATAAATGAGTAAAAGCAAAATAGCATGTCAGTCCAGTCTTCAGTCACATGATCCTTCAGAAATCATTCTAATAAACATTTATTCTTATTCTTATTTATAATTCTTTGATAAATTGAAGTTTCAAAAGAACAGTATGTGTGGAATAGATGTTTTTTTGTTTTTTTGACAATGTTAAAGACTTTACTGTCATATTGATCAATTTAAATCTATTCATTTCTTTCAACAAAAAAATCTTATTGACTGGCTATAAATCAATACAGCTATATTTTACATGATTTGTTTTTTTTAATGAACTGTGTAGCCTTATGAATGTGTTTCTTATGCATTGAAAATGCAAATTTTTTATACTTATTTAAATTTAAGTCTATGACGCTATTTATTATATTTCAGGCTCCTGCTGCATTTGGACTCGTCTCTTTCCTCATGCATGCGGGTTTAGAAAGAAACCGTATCCGGAAACATCTATTAGTCTTTGCCTTGGCTGCCCCTGTTTTGGCCATGCTCACCTACGTAGGACTCAGTCAGGTATGTTCAAGTATTTAAATAAAACAGACAGTATTTGTAAGCCTTGTTGGTGTCAAATACTACGTCATTATCAACCGTTGAAGTTCATTTTCTATACTCAAGAGCGCAAGTGCACACACATATAGTACCCGGATGTGTTCTTGATATCAAGGATGCATCGAATGCAGACTTGAGAGAATCGAACTGTTGGAAATTTCAGAAGACTATAAAAAAAAAATAAAAAAAATTGTCATCATTTACTCAACCTCATGTTGTTCCAAACCTGTATGAGTTTCTTTCTTCTGTTGAACACAAAAGATATTTTGAAGAATGTTGGTAACCAGACAGTTCCCTTTAATTCACTATCCCTTTAATTCAGATTCCTGTTGCAAGCTCACAAATATGTGACGACAAGTAAACATTTGTCATTTTGTTTTGCTTAATTTTAATAAAGTGATAAAGACCTGGAGAAAGCCTGCAGTGTTTTAATTGGCATATTAAAAAAGAATCTCAACATTGACAGAGCACAAGTAACATTAAACATACATACTCGTTTTCAGAAATGCATGCGGTAAAATAAAACGACATAAAATAATATGAAAATGTTTTAATAGGTTATTTTTAATATTACAATTTGCCTCAAGCAATTCAGACACTAATTTATTTAAATATGTGCTGAATTGGAATATAGGGTTTTATGTCTACTAATTACCTCATACTGGCACAATAACTAATATAACTTCAGATGCTTCACCAGGGTTACATAACAACCATGGAGGCCCACGCTATGTTTTTCAGATTGGCCCGCAGGCATCCCACATCCCATCGCCATGGGAACAGCTGAGTGGAGATTACTCACCTCTTGCTCCCCTGCTATGAAACGCCCCATTATTCTGTTTCTTTAGACAGCCTGGAAATCATCGAGAGATACAGTGCCATTTTTACCGCTGGGACGCCAACAATCATGAATATTTAATGTTCACCAAAAAACGTTTCCACCTCTCTGACTGTGTCCTAGATTCACTCTTTATCTAAATGCCCTGATACGCTTCAAGCGAAATCGAAGAACAAGTTGAAAATGGCGTCACAGCGGTTCGTTCTTCGGTTTCGCTTGAAGTATCTCAGTGCCTTTATAGTAGAAAATGAAGTTGTACTTATGAAAAACGGTGTCAGTCACTCGTTTAATTTGATTTTAAGCAATCGATTGTGTAAAGTGTAGGGATGCACGATATATTGGCCATCATATCGGTATCGTCCGATATGTGCATTTGGTAACGCTTCCTTTTACAGTACTTATGTGTACTTACAGTGTACTTACCTAGAAAGTACTGGCTAATATAAGGTAAGTACATGGGTTAGGGGTAGGTTCAGGGTTAGTACCTAGTTATTACCCAGTAATTATAATTACTATAATAAGTACATGGGTAACAGGACTGTAAAAGGAAGCGTTACCTTGCATTTTTAATGTTATCATTATCGGCCCAATAAGAAATTTCAGTTGATAAATAATGGATTATTTCCTTTGGTTGAGACATTTCAGATGTGCACTGTTCGCCATGATGGTTTTGAATTGCTTGAAATATGATTGTAATCACTTCAAAAAGAAAAATATGATTAAGTACAACGTGCAGTGGAAGTCTGTCAAATAGGCTACATAAAATTATAAGGAGAACATTATAATTGTGTGCTTGGGACATGGCTTTTAATGGTGAGACTTTTGTTTTTGTAATCAGGCTATCAAAAATGATGTAAAGATTTAGATTTGGATTTATCTGCCAATATATCGCTTATCAGCTTTCAAATAAAAATAATTATCGGCCAAAATGTTCGTATCGGTGCATCTCTAATAAAGTGCTAAATAAATAAACGTGACGTGACTTTACTAGAGTGCCGAATTGCAGATCTCGTGCAAACATCCACGTTGCTTTGATCATATATCATTTTCTTATGCTTTATTAAAAAATTGCTTGCTGTTTTCACAATTTGGTTGTTTATTTTGTTATTGAGAGGAAAGCGTGCAGCACATATTTACATATTCATCTAAACGTCGCTCGGTATCGGATGTTTAACAGTTTTTTGCTGCTCACCTGTCAAACTCTGTTTTACCCCTAAGCAAAGAACTGAAAAGAGCTTCGCCGTGAGTATATCGGGCCCTTAACCCTTTTCCTCTTCTTCTATCCAGAGCAGTAAAGAGGCACTATCTGACGTCAACGCCACCGGTGTGGCCATGCTGTTCTCCGCCGGCACCTTCCTGTACGTGGCCACGGTGCACGTCCTCCCGGAAGTGGGCGGCATGGGCGGCCACAGCCACACGCCCGGGGCCGGCGCAGGGAAAGGACTGAGCAAAGTGGAGGTTGGAGCTCTGGTTCTCGGATGTCTGATACCTCTAGTGTTGTCCATCGGACACCAGCACTAGTGTTCTGCGCTTCAAGCCACAGGTCGGAAAAGTGCGAATGGAACTTTGAACAGCTTTGGCCAAACAACAACCTCACAGAAGCGCTTTGAATCATGCCTCTGTCAGTTTATTCAAGTCGGTGGTTGGAGTGAACGCAGGAACTTTGCAGTCGGGAATGGGATTTGAGGACTTCAGGAATGCGCTGCCCTGCCGCTCCACAAAACACTGTGACTGACAGCTTACGATGACCATACACAAATAAAAGCGATCAAGTATCCAACTCTTCATTTACATTTTTTTTTTTTTTTTCTTCAGTGGTGCTTGTTTAAAAGAATCTGTTGTGGTTGGGTAGTCATGTTTGCTTTAAATTTGGTATTCTTTTGGTTTTTATATGGAATATGTCCATGGGTCTTTTAAATGATGAACCATTTACAAAAAAAAAATATATATATACTTTACAAACATATTAAAATTCATTGGCCCAGAGTAATTATTTTAAGTTTATTTGCACAAATCATAATAATGAGATAACAATATTCCATTAATATGGGAGCATACACTGGGCTACTTGGTTACTGCTAAATTTAAACTAATTTCATCATGTATATGGTTATTGGGACAAATATGAATTAAGGTTATTTTGTAAATGTCTAAAGGTTTAGCGGATGAACACATTGTTCTGTTGAGTTCAGTGCATGTACAGCGTTATTATTTGACTTTTATTCAAACCTGATTGGTTGTTTAATCCTGGAAAAAGGATCTCATTGGTCAGTCAGATGTTTTGTACTGTGATGCTTGCTCAGAGCAGAGCCTGTGTTCTGTAAATATGTATTCTCTGTATAAATGACAAAAAAATACCCTATTTGACATCTTGTTCTCCAGAGTAGTTTTTAGTCTCATTTTAGCTTCTGTAATCGGTGAGAGAGAAAGATTGTGTTTAAATTAATGACATTAAAGGTAATTTTTTGTTCTTTGTCTTAACCGAAGGGAATTTGAGGTCAGTTGGGAAGATTATATGGTGGATTTCTGTTTTGCACTTGAAGAAGTGATCCTTGAGCTGGAAAGCTACTGTTCATCACCAAGCTATTGTTAAGGTTCCCTCTGAAGCTTGAATAGGGAAGCATTAGAGGTCAACTTGGACTACAGCAACATCCTGGTCCTGGTTTACAAAGTGTTGCATTCTTGTTCTGAAAAATGATAGTTAAAGTTTATGTGAAAGCTGTGCGTAATAATGCATTTAGCTCTCTAGCGCCCTCATCTTAACCGTAGTGCACAAGCGCAACATCACTCTCAAATTGTGGAAGATATACAGACGGAGAAGACTTCACGCCGATTTGTAGAAAGGACTCCTCTGAAAGGGAGAACGCAAATCTTACAATGACCTCCGCCTAGAGACTTGGCACAGATATGTAATAGGACTGAATGTTGATTGGTTAGGTGAAATTTTGTGCCATATTGACTTATTTTGACTGATTCTTCTCCTACAGCTCAGCTGTTGCACAGTGTGGGTAGGAAAGGGTGATGGTATTGGGATAGAGATTTTACAATGAGGCGGAACCTGATGAATTCAGTTTTGGGGCTTTTATGTGATCATTCCACAAGAGGAGTATGCCTTATTTTATTCGCAATTGTTTAACTTGAAATGGTTGCAAAGGTCTTTGTTCATGATTTGAATAAACTTATTTTCTTTTTTAATGGATGCAAATCGTACTACGTACCTTATTTTGCCTGTCTAAGAACATTTGGAATTGCATTGAGAAATATTTTCACATTGTAAATTAATAAAGCAAATGAGCAATGAGTAATCATTTAAAAACATTTTTGCAATTTAATTCTCGTTTATTTGTATAGTGCTTTTCACACGGTTACTGTCCAGTAATTAAGAACAGGCACACGAGGATTTTGAAAGCAATCTGGGACATTTTTCAACATTTTTTACTTTTAGTGATTTCACACTGAAGTTCAGAAATATATATTACTCCAGAGTTTTGATATTCTTCAAATAAAAACATTAGACTTTTCTGAAATAAAATTATATAATATATGAGCAATTTACTCGAGTAGGAGTGTGATATGGCTCTATATTAGCACGTATGTGATTAGGCCATAAGCATTAAAAGTTATATAAAGAAGTTTGCATGATGATAGGTAATAAACACAAGCAAACAATTCAGTCAAAAGTACAAAAGCAGCGCTAGTTAGTACAGGATTTAAGTTAAAGGGGACCTATTATGCCCCTTTTTAAGTTTTAGCTCAAAATAATACCCCATAGATAATGTATTACACCATGTTGTACCTGGCCATTTTTGAGTGGAAGGGAAAATATGTTGTTTTCATGCGTGTATCTTTAAATGCAAATGAGCTGCTGCTCCCCGCCACACTTTCCAGAAGAGGGCGGAGCCTTTACAGCTCGTGCCTCAGATACTCTGCCAACAACTAACAAAGCATCTGTTTGCTTTGGATTATATATTCTCTATTGCGGTCACACTCACTTGACATTGCAGTTCTTCATCATCACGAAAGTTTAATATCTGCATGCGTTTGAAAGCCATATCAGTGTAAACTTCTGATATATGTTTTTCTGAGCGCACACATGCGAAGTCTGTCAGAGGGCGCGTCCCGTGAGTATTAAACTTAAGTTCTCTTACACGTCTTATTGGGCTTAAACTGTCAAATACACACAAGGTTATGTCAAAAACACCACACAGTCGGTTATGTCTGTGAACATAAACAGCAAGTAAAAAAGTTGCATGTGTATATTAGATCTGTATTAAAAAGAAAGCAGCGTAATTTACAGTACCTACTATATGCTGTTAACATGAATCAAACAACAAAGAAAAACAGAAAATCACTCACTGCTCTTGATTGAATAACTAAGTATAAATTTCTTACTAGAATGCTGCTGTTAAATGCTTTGGCGAGGAGATAAACATGGTGGACCGTGTACACCTCACTGAGGGCGGAGTCTATGCTAATAAGGCGAAGTCCATCTGCAGTCATGGGCGGGGCCTACGCATTTGTGACATCACAAATCTACAAAGGGCTTGTTCTGAGACACTGTTTATGATTTATGGGGATTAAAAAAGAGGAGTGGGTGGATTATACCATTATGGGTGGTTGTGTACACTGGCGACACACAAACAACAAATTTCCAAATAGGCTCAATGTCTACATATAAACCGTGTATTTGAGGTCTAAACAACTAAATTCTAGGCTAAAAAACTCTTAAAATTACATTCTAGAAATTATAGAGGGAATGCATTAACGTCACTTCCCCGCCGGAACACGCCCCCCTCAGCGGGACTGAGTGGCAGAAGAGCTGCTGCGTGACTGGAGTTAATAGGGGAAACTGCGTTAACGCGAGTAAAACAAACTATTATCAGTTTAAACTAAAAGTTGGACTCGATATAGTGTTCCTTACAACTTATCAAAGATCCAGTGATCCATGGATATTGACATGCAGCCAGGAATCGTGTTTCCTGACATTTATGTGCCTGATTTCGACGCCGGGGAAATAAATGAAGAAAATTTGCCTGTAAACGTTTTATATAAATACAATATAGATAGGTCTAAATCCGAGTGATCACTTACATTAATGTTATACTGTATAATCATCATATCGTCCAGCCCTAAAAGTTGTATAGTTTTTTGTCAGTGTTTATTTAAAAACATCCGATTATGCAGAATATAGTCTGTTCTGTAGCTTTTTGCAGTCTGTAAAAATATACAGTACCTCAGATTTCTGGTCAAATCTAGTTGTACAGTCAATCGCAAAGCTCTTTCCCGTTTTAGATGTGTTTTGTGCAGGGCTCGAGACTAACGGCGTCCTATCGTCCTGGGGACGATAGAAAATGTGTTTAGGACGAACAGAAATATTCTCCAGGACGCCTACAGGACGAAAGATATTTTTGTATGTGTGTTCATTTATTTCTAGCCTATGGGCTAACTTACTTAGAAAATGTCAAAATTAACCGACCAAGTGCTGACTACAACGGAGCGCGTCTTCTCATGCTATATAGCCTAACGTTACTATCACCGTACTCACCCAGAGACTTGTTCCGCGGTACATCTATCAAATGGCTTAATGACATCGTAAATATGTTGCGCTGGTTAAACAACAGATATTCAACGAATAAAAACTAGACAAAAATGTTAGATAGTGACGATTTGGGAAGCGATCAGTCATAACTGATGTCCTGCGTGTAGATGCGCACATTTGTACTGTAACGTGCTGATCTACCCAGCGGGACACGGGTTGACATGCGCTGCATGTTTCATAAAACGTTAAAATATGTAAACGTCTGTGAGAATGAGTAGAGCAGAGATATATATATATATATATCTGAATAAGAGTGACGACGCAAAAAATACCTCTATTCGGTTTTCTGTTCGCACACACCCGGCCGAAACGTGCAGCCATGCACATAGACGCCTATACAGCGCGCGAGGACTGATTGAGCTCTCTTTCGTGTCTGAGTGGACAAATACACACAACATTATGTCTAAATGTCCGTTTTGGAGAGTATTCATGTAAACTATGTTGGTTATGTCTTAAACAGTTGTGAGAGAATCGGATGTGCATCAGTGCAATTGTATCAGTGCATTAGACATGATCCGACGTCTTAAAGTGACAGTGCTTAATAAACCTAATGCGGTCCGTGTCCTTAATATTGATCAAGCAACAAAAGAAAAAGAGAAAAGCATTCACTGCTCGTTAATAGCTTTAATGTTATATTTAATATAATTAGTTCATACAAATAACTGTCTGCTGCTTGAAAGAATAAAGAATTATGTATGCAAGTAGTTATAAAGAATGCATATATCATTAATTGAAAAGAAGACAGTTCTATTTTATGAAAAGTGGTTTTATTTAATTTTAAGATATTTTAAGCAGTTAAATCTGTATCTGTATTGCATGTTCAAACTTTAAAATCATTCATATTAACAGGTAGATGTTTTCTCCGGCACGAAGATCTCAGTACAAAGACTGAGATGAAAACAGAATTTCCCCCAAATTCTGTGTTCTAGGGAAGTCATATTACACTTTTTAAAGCCCTTTCTCTTATTAACACGTTTCCAGATGATCAGCTATGACACATTACCACTTTTAGATATTTAGTCACCAGTATTTATTTGTTATTGTTTAATCCAACCAACTCAAAAACGTTTTGAGCTGTATGTATTTTTCTCTTATTTTTCGTAGCCTATGTAAAAAAAAAAAAAAAGGAAAAAAAACATTTTTATTCTGCATGAATACAAAAAAACGACCAACAACTATAACTATAGATCATAATAACAAAGTACAGAAACAACAGTTTTATTTTGGGACGGTTGACATTCACTTTAGGACGGTTCAAATTGGTTTTCAGGACGGTTCCAGGACGGAGGTGAAAAAAGTTAGTCTGGAGCCCTGGTTTTGTGTGATTTTCACGGCATTCACGCTGAAAACAAATGCTGCCGCTCAGTCTTTTTGCCACTTGTGGGCGTGACCGCATTCACTCCGGCCGACGGTGACGGTTTGCTCTTCTGCCATTGACTACGTTTACATGCAGCCAATAACCCGTTCAAAACCGGGATATTAGCAATAACCCGGTCGCGAACGGCCATGTAAACACCGGCAAAAACCCGAATATGCTCATATCCCGGATTTTAAAAACCGGGATATTATACCTGGGGTACCCCTTTTCTAACCCGAATTTTTGGTCATGTAAACGCGCATCGGCATATCCCCATAGTGATGTGTGTTCTGCGCATGTTCTATTCGCAAGGAATCTTGGTCTTTTGTGTAGAGAAACTTCTCGGCGCATACAAAACCCCGCGTGCAGTATACCGGAAGTAAACATGGCGAGACGCAGCACAGCATACTTTTGGAGCCATAGACATAATATATACATAGACGCCCTATTGGCCGCTGGAGCCATAGACAGTATAAGAAGTGGACAGAGCCATCTCATTGGAACTCAGTTGAGACAGTTGAAGCCCATTTTTAGCGATTTTTGAGCACTTCCGTTCCTGACGCGCAGACTCAAACCGACTCAAACTAAGCTTGATGACGTGAGCAACCTGTCTGACAGACGTTAATCTTCTAGTAGCTGTGCGTGAAAATTGCCAACGTTAATCTTGCAGAGACGGGGAACTTGAGCAAAGAGTTCTTTGGCGTGAGTGAGCAGGAGTAAGTATTCCGTTGCTTTTATGGACTCATAATCTATGGGCTTCTCCCTTGACGGGACGTCCCCCCGATTGCCTGCGAGCTTCTCCTCCTGTCTGTACGGTAATTTCTGTACAGCGCGACAGAGAGTCGAGTGGTTATGACGCAATCGTTAGCCTATTTTTACTAAATCTGTTTCTACGGGGCCATAATGTAACATAGAAGGTAATGGAGCACTTTATACATTGTCGTGTTTCTTTAGAAATAAATAATGGACAAATGGAGTCTTTAAACGCCTCAGATGTAAAGTTATTCGCTGTCAAAGTGACGCCAAAATGAATGGGAGTCAATGGAAATGCTAACGCAAGTGAAGTTCTGCTACAACATGGCGGCACCCGGCCGGCTTCAACTTCCGGTCGATGGATTACCCCCTTGGCTGGAGCGTACGTCAACGGCGCCGCCATGTTGGGGATGGCAACTTTCCCATACCTCTCATACAGGGAATTGAGAAAAATGCATGTTTTGTGCGCTGTTTGGGGCTGTACACATCGCCACACAATTGAAAACAGCTTTCGAGGAATTACCTTTCACAAGCAAGACTGAACGTTTGTTTTTGGTTGTATTTGGTCAGGATTTAATTAGTAATAGTAACGTTCAGAGGATACATTTAAAAATACTACTGTTATTGTGTCACGAAATGTAGTTTAAATAGTTTTTCAGTCGACAATGTAGTTGTTTAAAGCTCAAATATGTGGTTTGTTTATAAAGATAGCGCCTATTTAAAAATTTGATCTGACGTTTTCGGAGTTGTAAGATGCGCTCAGCGCTCGTCTACCCCGCCTGGAACAGCCGTACCTCGGCCAGTGCTTCTGAAGTGTTGACGCTGACTCGGATGTCTGTAGTCTAGTAGTGGTTAAACATGAGATATCATTCGTCTTGTGTATATCTAACGGGCGATCTTTGGTCTCATTAATCTATAAATGGTTCCCTGGTAAATCGTTTTGGCTGAGGGCAAAGTGAAGTTTCATAACTATTTAGGCTATTTTAACGTTGTATCCTGCTGTATGTTTGACTGAAGCTACTTATGTTATACTGATCAATAAAACTGAAATTTAACAAAAAGAGTTAAATATTAAAGTCACTATTTAACTTATTTTTTATTGTGTATATTCTGTAATTGATATTTCTTATTCTATTGCTATTATTATAGTATTATTAATAAACTATGCTATTATCATTATTTTTATGATTGTATTATTGCACTTATGATATTATATAATTATACTAATCATTACTATTTTATTTGCTGTATACTATTTGTTTATTTTATTGACTAAACTATTTACTATTACTTCTCACTTTATGTTATATTTACTATTTGCATTGCACTGTAGTTGTACCGTATTATTATAAAGGATCCATCAGTTATCTTTGTTATTGCTAAAATCTGGTCAATCACAGAAAATGCTTTTTCCACAATAAGAAAACTTAAATTATATCTCAGTATGGGGGTCTTCACCATTCTTATCCAAGAATAAAAAGCCAGATACATGACAAGCCTGAGCTTAATTGACCATTCTTTATTAAAAAAAAATATTTTACAAGTCTAACTATCGAGATTTTAAATAACTAGAGATGGAACTTTTTGTACACCACATACAAACCACTGAAATCGGTTGATAAATGTAAAAACAGTTTGTTTTTATCCAGAAAAAACGCAGCTCCCCCGTTTACTTACATTTGTTCACAGCGCAGTCTTGCCCTCCGCAAAATGGCGGACCCGTTGACGTATCGCAGCAACGTTCCAAAGCGGCCAATAGGGCGTCTATGTATTTATTATGTCTATGTTTGGAGCGAGGTCAGTAACGTTACCAGCACCAAAGCGCAAACAAAGGCGATCGCTATCTGCCCCGAACTATTCATTATCCGCGTGCTGCTGTTGTTGTTGTCTTTGGATACAGGAAGAAGAATCGGAAATGACGCATAGTGCGTCTTAAGGTTGTCCGTACGTCCAGACGCTAACCGTGCGTCGCCGTTTACATCGGGATATTGCAATTCCATGTATACAGGAGTAACTCTCTCTGCTCACGCATGTAAACGGGTTATCCCTAATGTTTCAGAAACCCGAATTGTGACCTTAACCCGACCATAACCCGAAATTTGGCTGCATGTAAACGTAGTCACTGACGCTCGCTGTGAGAAATGCAGCCGGTATAGATCCGGCAGAAACAAGCGGAGTGATACATTGTGAAACGTTTTCTGTGTGATAGCCTATTAGTATAAAAAATAGACTTGGATGTTCAAGTCATTTCAACTTAAATCACATTGTAAATACACTTAAAAAATGAGTTGAATCTTGTATAACTAAATGTTTTGTTTACAATTTCTTAACTTATTTTGATGAGCTAAATCAATGTAAAAACATTTGTCAACATATTGATCATATAATTTTTTACAGAATATCGCATGGGTGGAAAAGGCTCTCAGCCAATCAGATTCAAGAACCAGAACTGTTGTATAATATAATATAATATAATTTGTAATTTATTACACAAATTACAACTCAAGTATACAAGTGTAACTTGTGGCATAATTTCCATACATAATAATATTATAAGCATCTGCTTAATGTATACTCGTAGTGTCAAATGACATACAGTACAATATGTCCTGCTTCCTGCTTTTAAATCCCACATATGCCTGCTTTACAGTCGATGTGATTTTTGCTTTACAAATTGAAATGTTTCTGTGGTAATCGACAGCATGTGGCTTACATTTTAACTTGCTTTAAACCAAGAACATTCCTTTAAGATGTACAGTACTATGCAAATAACAAGATTTAAACTGTAAACCTTTAGCCCATGTGTAAAGTCACAGATTAAGTGTTATTAAATATAAATCCACTGCATATTAAAGCTGTGTTAACTGTCTAGGATACATAATCCCTGATCCATTAGCAAACTACATGCTCATAAACATATGTTCAATGGTGGATAAGATGAAACGCTGTAAACATGGCAGATTTACGAGTGTATAGATCCATAATGTGTTTGATAAAGTTGTTTAAAAAAAAAAAAAAAAGAATACATCTGTATTCATAACACTTACGCACACAAACACACCAAATGGCTCTTTAGCCGATTCATTTTAGTCTGTGAAATTGGACAGATTGCTCTTTTATGTAAGAAGAACAATATCTAAAATCTCCTTTCCCCATCTGTCTAATATAGGTTATATTTGGTAACTCATCATGTGACACTGAAGACTGGAGTAATGATGATAATGAAAATTAAGCTTTGATCACAGGAATAAATTACATTTTCAAATACATTCAAATAGAAAACAGTTATTTTAAATTGGAATATTTCACAATATTACAGTTTTTTGTGTTATTAATCAAATAAATGCAGCCTTGGTCAGAATAAGAGACTTTTGAACGGCAGTGTGTGTGTGTGTGTGCCTGTGTGTGTGCGCGTGTGTGTGTGTGTGCCTGTGTGTGTGTGCGCGCGTGTGTGCATATATATATATATATATATATATATATATACATAAGTTCCAACGTCATAAGTGAGAAAATCCATAAAGTAATAGCATTTCCCTTCAAAATACTGCATTGACGTCCTTCAGATTAAAAAAAAAAACACTCTTTCCTAAAGCCTCTTGGTCTAACCCTCTCATATCTATTCCTCCCTCCCTCTCTGATTCTATTTCCACACTGTCCAGTAGCAGCTGATGTCACTATATTGGCAGATACATCGTTCCACGTCGCTGAATGACTGGAGGATATCATCCCCGGCTTTGCCTGATTGAGTGTGTCTCTATTGGAAAGTGTACATGCTACCATTTTAACTTCATTGATTTTATTTGTACCACACCTCCTCATCTCCCTCTTCCTGTGAAAGAGTCAGCTATGTTCTCCTCGTCCAAGCCCTCCCTACTCTCACCCTGGACCTCCATGGAGCAAGCTGACTCGGACGCTTTGGATATCAGCACTAAAGTGCAACTGCATGGGGTTCTGTGGAAGAGACCTTTCGGCAGGCCCTCGGCCAAGTGGTCCCGCAGGTATGCATGCAAAAATATCAAAAAAATAAAGCTTTTATTAGAAGATCTTTTTAGTGATCTTATTTTCATTATGTGTTCCTTTCCCTGCACAGAGATACGCAATTTTTGTTGTTCTGGTCAATAACGAAGTACATGTTATTATGAAATATATAATGTTATAATGATGCGAAAGAAGAAGCTACGGTATGATTGGAATGGTTTAAGCACATCATATGTTTTGTGTGGTGCCACTGCCTTGTTATAGTGCACTTTAAAAGCTTAGACATTATCGAGTAACCCATCATCATAGCTTACTGACCTGAGATGCTTTAAATGTACCTTTAAAGCTGAGTAAGTCAGATCTGTGCTGCCGGTGGCTTTTTGTACTGCGTACATTAGGACTTATAAAGATCAATTCCAGGAAAGCTCAATTCCAGTCAAATGAATGTTATATTTACGGTCATTTATGAATTTGTGGAGGAAGCAATGGTCAGTTTTCAACAAGTGCTTAAAGGAGGAAATGTGTTTATTATGTGTTGCGTTAGCCAAGAGGTGATCATTGAATTTCTTGTTGCTGTTAATCGTGAATGTTTGTGCTTTCATAACAGATTCTTCATCATCAAGGAGAGTTTTCTGTTGTACTATGCTGAAAATGAGAAAAAAAGCTTTGAGACCAATAAATATTTCAACATTCACCCTAAGGTACACCAATATCGCACATTATTTTAGTACACTGTAAAAAATTATATGATTAGTAAACATATGTTTTTACATTGCTTTAACTCACCAAATAAGCTTTCCTTTTTTTTAGTTAAACAAGATTCAACTCATTTTTTTTAAGTCAATTTAATGTAATTTAAGTTGAAATGACTTAAACATCCAAGTTTATTGTACTGAAAAATTTAAGGCAGCAACTTTTTTTTTACAGTGTACTATGCATTTTAAACTAATTAAATATAAATTAATATAAATTGAATTATATAATCATATACATCGCACAAGCAAAAGTGTTGTTGAATATCAGCACAGCTGTTGGATGATTGCTTACTTTTAAAAGGCTTTCTAACCAAGATAACATACACAGAGTAACTTCAGAAAAATATATGATATATATTTCTTACTAAAAGCATGATATGTATAATTGTTTGAACGTTTTCCTCCATGTTAGGGGGTGATTCCATTAGGTGGATGCATTGTTGAGCCAAGAGAAGACCAAAGCATGCCGTTTGCCGTGGTCATCAACCACGAGGACTTCACTGTAAACGCATTTTCTTCTTCTTCTATCGTTTTTTTAGTAGGACATCAGATCTAGTGTTGTTGTTTTGTTTTGTTTTTGATAAGGAAAAAGTCACTCAGTCACACATGCTGCATTTTTGTATTTAGTCTTTAGCCATAAATTGTGTAATTTAGCCATAAATAATCACTAATAAATAATATATAAAAATAATAAATAAATGTCTGTATCTTTCACCTCACCCTGATACAGGGGAACATTGTCCTGGCTGCGGAGTCGGAGTCAGAGCAGAGCCAGTGGGTGGAGATGCTACAAGAGTCCGGGAAAGTGTGAGTGACTTCTAACAGCTCTGTGGAAAGATAGTTGTTAAAGTGTAAATGATTATATCATTTCCATCACTTAAAAAAAAACCTCAGGGCATTTGAGCCTTCAGATGCTATAGATTATGACTTTTTTGTTATGATTATTTATTCTCTTAAAGCACTTGGAAGAATGCTCAGCTGGGTGAGGCTATGATCGAGAGTCTTGAAGCTCAGGGGTTACAGCTGGCTAAGGAAAAGCAGGAATACCTGGGTATGGCCACAACTTTCAGATATCTATTTTCGTTTTTTTTATGTCAAATTCACAATACAATCTATTAAGGGTTAATGTATTGTCTTTTTATTTGATTTGATTGTATTTATGTATTTATTGTATTTAGATAAGCTCATGGAGGAGACTGAGGAACTGTGCTTGCAAAGAGAAGAGAAGGCGGTTAGCTCACTATTTTTTTCATTTACACCCACAAATATTTAGTTTTTTTTTTTTTTTTACTATATTATGACATATGTTTGTACACAGATAAGTTTAGAAATGCAGTCCATCATGCATGTACAGTGACTGATGGATAAATATGTCTGTGTTTTGTAGGAGCTGGAGAGACTGAATCAATTGCTGGAAGAAGAAAAGCAGAAGTTTGAAGAAGTGGTTCAAGAGCTAAAAGTAGAACAAGAGCAAATTAAAATGTAAGACACCCCACCACATTTACTATTATAAACAGTTTTACAAACATATTAACATTTTCGTTTATCCTTCTGTCATTCTTGCATCCATCCATCCAAATGTGCCCAGCCATAAAAATGGGTCTTGAGAGCAATCCAACTTTAGAATAGATAAGATATTAAATGAATATGTTTATATTATTATGTCATTTACCCTGAACATTTTCTACTTCTCTGTGTTGGTAGAGATATGGATGGCACTTCTCAGTGTCTGGAAGGAGTGGAAAATGAGAAAGAGGAGCTTCATCATCTTACCACACTTCTGCAGAAGTCTTTAGAGGTATCCAAAAAATATATATAATTTGAAGGGAAAAAAAGTCTTTATAGAAGTTAAGGGACAATGTAGCCTGGGAAAACCCAGACAACTTCCGGCAAATTTAGATTTGCTCTGAAAGTTAGTCTGGCAAAGAGCTCATTCAAGCCCATTTCCAATCCGTCGAAATCGCGGCACCAATCAGAAACGTTGGGGCGGGCTTTACACGATGACGACAGCGCTGGGATTTTGAAGCAGATTTTGTAGCCTACATTACAAAGATGGATGCCGCCGTCGAACATCACTCGTTCGAATCAGCTATCGCGTCTGTTTTAAGCGATTTGAACGTTTCCTTTTTGTTAAAAACCGAGCAAAGAACAACACTCGGAGATGTTTCTCCGCCGCTCTGCATACGTCATCTCCTTCATCGCTCTGATTGGTTTTAGGTCTATCCGTTGTCTATGACGCTTTGCCAGACCATAACTCAGTTACAATGTCTCATCATATTCGTAAATAGAGAAAAGTTGTTCCGGCTACTTGATATACTACTCCATCAATGGTTCACACTCCAGCCCTGTAGGTGGCGGGAATGCACCTATTATTTGTTTGCCAACCACCATAAAATCCCAAAAGAAGAAGAAGATAGCCGTGTATGGTGTGTCACAACGAGTGAGAAAGGTTGACATGGAGCCGCTAAAACACAAACCTCCAGAGAATCACACGTTTTAAACAAACACCGAACAGACGAGAGTCTGCTGGCAAATAGAGAACGCGACAGAGCTCGTAATAAAACATGAATCAACATTAGCTTGGCTTTTCAGAGATGCGAGAACTGAGGGATTTGAAATGTTGCAAAAGCGACGCAGAGATGATGGTGTTTTTATAACTCAACAGGTAAGTAAGGTATTTTATTGAACAGATACATTTCCATATGTAGTTCTCTGACAGAGTTCATTGTAAAGCACTATCTATTGTGAAGGGCAATTTCATTCAATTTACAAGGAAGTACTGCGAGTATTAATGTGTAAAGCTACAGTAACGTCTTCATCTAGTCAGCTTGAGATCCTTTTCATCTAAACTGGTTTTATCTCTTAGACCTAGTAGCGAATGAACAACAGCACAAAATATTGCACTTACATGCTCATATGGCATCATCTTTGAATTTCCATGTGTTCACCGGTGCCGCAAACCATATTCATCCGCACAGTCATGTAGAGCTAAAGCACAACCAAAACAATGTTCTTCTGAAAAATGCATGCAGTTTTGTTTTATTAACTGCTAGAGTACCAAAAGTCCTTTTAAGTTAACCAATTATGAAATTACCTCAATTTAGCTATAAGCAACTCTACAGTATAGTGCTGTTATTCACGTTGAGCCAATTCAGTGTTCAGTAACAGTGTTGATGATACAAAATTTGTCAATTATGAAATTAAGTCAAATCAGCTTTAAAGCAGCTCTGCGGAAAACGGTCCCATGCTGTATATTCTCATACAATAGTGTCATGCAGAGAAATCAATAATATTGCTGAATATGAAGTGCCCTGATGAGGTCCATAACACACATCTGACTCTGTCTGGATTCAGGACTTATCCCAAGAGAAAAAGCGCACCCTCGAGCTGCTCCGAGAAAGAGGACAGGATGTGGCTGGAACAGGAAGTGACCGTCGGGCCTCTTTAGACTCCCATAATCCCGAGGTGCAGCTTCAGGGAAACCTGTGGCAAATCGAGGAGCAGATGAGGAGTCTGCTGAAAGAGAAAGAACAGGCAGAAGACAGGTGAATTACACATTTAGAGTCAAAAGAGTCTTTCCATGTACAAAGATTTCCTATTCCTTTAACAAAAAAAGATGTATTTGGGATGTAGCAGTGTTTATGTGCAGAGCCGTTGTTTGTCCAGAAAGCGCATTAGAATAAATGGACCGTTCCATGACAGTGGAAATGTACATTGATCCCTAAATAATCCAGTCTATCGATTAGATGTGAATGAAGCACACAAGTCGAGAGTGGATTGACTAGCGGGTATGAGTGACCTCAAAAGCAGGATATAAATAAATGTGACTCTGCTGTATGGTCCATTACGCATGATACAACAATTTTATAAATAACAACCTGATATGATGTGATTTTTTTTTTTTTTTTACTTAGTTTCAAAAAATGAAGTCTTATTTCTGTTTGTTGTTGCTAACTCTTAAAAAAAAAAAGTCAGATTTAATAAATATATAATTGAATTTATACTACTACTGTTTGCTGCAATATATACTGTGGTATGTACAATATCTGTCAAAAGTTTGGAAACCAAAGCTGCATTTATTTAATCAAAATACAGTAAAACTGTAATATTGTGAAATATTACTACAATTTGAAATAACTGTTTTCTTTTTTATATATATTTTTAAAAAATGCAAGTTGTGACAGTGGAGGAATGATGCTGAAAATACAGCTTTGCATCAGTCTTCACTGTCACATGATCCTTTATAATATTATTATCAATGTTGAAAACGTCTTTATCTACTGTCTACTGTGAAGGGTAATTTCATTATGGTTGTGGTAATGCTGTGCTGGAATTTATTTTCAAGTGTTTATTAATGGGTAAAGCTACAGTAATATCTTCAGATAGTCAGCTTGAGATTCTTTCCATCTAAACTGATTATGCTGTATCTCTGTTTTATGAGCAGTAGGAAAATCTCTCTCTCTTTTTAGTTATGAGAAAAAAACATATTCATTCGCACAGTCCTGCAGACCCGAAGTACAACCAAAACAATGTTCCTCTGCAAAATGCATGCAGTTTTGTTTTTTACCGCTAAAAGTTAGATATTGTCCCTTTAAATTTTGATAAATAAATATACAAAAGAATATGATCAATAATTGATTCAGTACTTTTACACAGGAAACAGCAAGCAAAGAACAAGCCTCTGCAAATTTGGTATCTCTGGCATCTCATCACAAACTACACGCCAATGCTCGCTTTTCTGCCCTCTAGTGTTCATGCCAGTGAGACAACCCTTGTTTCTGTCGCCCCCTGCAGGCTGAAAGAGAATGAGAAGCGAGCCAAAGTTCTGCAGGGGGAGAGGGAGTTTTATTCTTCTCAAGCTCAAGCTCTCCAGCAGTCTCTCACACAGCTCACAGCAGACAAACAGCACACCGAGGAAGAGCTGAAGGTGAACACTAATGTGCCCTGAAATTGTGGAGCACTATAAAAAAAAAAAAAAAACTTTGTTGGATACAAGAAACTGGACTTGCAGTAAATTTGGATGTGGAAAAATTCTTCTAATTATAATTAGAACAAAAATTCTAATTATTATATTTCCATTAAGGCATTTCTGTACCATGTATTTACATTTCCATTTATGCATTTGGCAGACACTTTTATCCAAAGTGACTTACATTGCATTACACATTTACATTGCTATCAGTTCTTATCGACGCTTATATTAAGTTTGCATTGGATCTAACAGTATACATAATTGTTCAGTTACATTTGCATGTGTCACATTACCTCTTCTCCATCTCTGGATCATCTGCTCATCTTTTCTCACTTCTAAGTGATCAATTGAAATTATATAAAAGCCCATGTCTGCTCCTACCTTCATACCTTTCACATCTGAAATGTATTTCCCTTACACTCATCTTCATAATATACATGATATGTTGTTTGTGTGTGTGTGTGTGTGTGTGTGTGTGTGTGTGTGTGTGTGTGTGTGTGTGTGTGTGTGTGTGTGTGTGTGTGTGTGTGTGTCAGGCGGAGATGGAGTCTCGTGTGGAACTGGAGCATCGGCTGAAATTGGCTGAGGAAGCCCTGCAAGATCTCGAACAAGGTCTAAATGCAATAGAACGTACCCACGAGAGGGAGGAAAGAATGAAAGGAGATGTCAGCCATCTCCGCAGTGAGTACTTTCCATCAGTCGTGTTCTACAACATGAACAAATTAAGTACCTTGAAATCTGATATAGAGTGTGAACCAGTTTTGAAAGCCCTTTCAATCCAAAATCTCCAAATATTTCCAAATTGTTCCTGTTCAAAATGCAGTGGCTTCTTAAACGTTACTAAATTGCATAAGAACTTAGAGTTGGGTATTGTTCTCCCAGAGTTCTTTGAGGAATGTATCTGTGCTGCGGAGATCGAGGCCAAGTTACCATCCATCATGAAGAACGCAGTCTATCTGCATAAAGCTGCTGCTCGGCGCATCAAAAGCTGCCGCATCCAGAGACGGGCCTCCAGACAGCACTGGCGTAAGTGTTACACGTACAGTAGGGGCATGCATGCACACATGATCAAATTATAACCTAAGTAGTTCCATTGGCCGCAACTCTATATTGAGGTAACGTATGCATATATTACCAGAAACAGCACTCCAACTGAGTAAAACTATAAACCTGGTTTGATTGAAGGAGATTTATTTTGTACATTTTTAAAAAATCCTATGCATAATAGATTGTTTACATTTTTTTCAAAACATATAATGAATTGTTTTTATAAATGTTCTTTAACGTGTTATCCATGATACAACTATGTCTTCAGAAAAGTAACAGGGTTGGCAGTTCTGCAGTTTACTTTTGCAACGGGTAGCCAATGTAGCGAATGCAATAAAGAGTTGTGTGAAACTCGATATTTATTAAACGGAGAGCGAGAACACTAACACACAACAACGTTAACACAGAACAAAGAACTAAAGACACAGAGAACAGGGGTGCACTAATCAAAAACACTGGAACAAATCAGAACTCAGGCAAATGCAATGACAAAGAAAACCATCGTTAAACAGCGGTGCGTTTTTACAACGCCAAGTTCTGCCATAACCAAACAGTTTAGTGGAACTTATGAACATAGTTGGCTAACAACGCTTTTGGAAACAAGACAAAGAAACTAAACGTGACTTTTTGGGGGGAAACTTTGACTTTTTTGGACTTTTTAATAGGATTTTATGTCATTACAGTTTTATTATTATTGGAGTTTTGAATTAGTTTAAAATGGAAAAAATAATGTGTTAATAGGGTTTACCAGATTTACACTGTTCAAAGGTTTGGGGTCAGTTAGATTTTTTGGGGGGAAAGAGATGAATACTTTTAATAACTGAATACATTTACTTTTAAATTTTTCCATAAAGACATTTATAATGTTACAAAAGATTTCTATTTGAAATAAATGCTGGATATTTTTTTTTTTACTTTCTATTCATCAAAGAATCCTGAAATATATTGAGTTTCTATCTTTTATGAGGACTTTTATAGACGTAATGACTTTTATACTGTACAAACTATCACCTAACACTAACCCATCACAGAAAACTTTCTGCATTTTTACATTTTCAAAAAACACGCTGTTTTCCCCATGGGGACCAAAAAATGACAAAAAAGTTTTACCTGAACTACACACACACACACACACACACAGGCATACCAAGGCTGCACACATGTATACAGTATGTGGTTAACGGGAACTCGGCATAGGCGTAATAGTTTTTATACTGTACAAGCTGTCTTGCACTAAACCTACCCATCACCTACCCAAACTTTCTGCATTTATTTTATAAAAAAAAATAAAAAAAACACTGTTTAGTATGTTTTTTTTTTTAAGCCATTTGGGGAAGTGTCCTCATAAACCATGTTTACGTTGTAATACCCATGTCATATACACATTTGTGTTCTCATAAACCATATATACAAGAACACACATTGTTACAGTTGTTTTTACACATAATATGAGAGAAACTAATGCCACGTGGAGTGGCCAAAATGGCTCTAATTTTTAGGTTACTTTTAATTTGTCAATGGAAATAAATGGACTCCACCTCCTCATCATATGCTCCACTCTCTTTTCCTGTGTGCAGTGAAGCACTCTCAGTCATTCGCCTCCTCTCGCGGTGGTGCCTCCTCCACCAGTCTGGGAGAGTTGAGAGAAACCGCCCGGCGTCTCACTTCAGACAGCTGTTTGAGACGAAGAGCCTACAAGATCATCACCCGCCAGGACACCGTTCAGTCTGAGGACTAACACGATTCGGACAGACAGAACGGCCTGGGCCGGAGGGGAAACTAACTCCCTAATCTCTGCTGTGCAACTTCTGGTGAAAGTTTAACATGATTCAGTAAGAGGAAACTACAAACACAGTGTTGTCATCATTTGGAAATATGTGTCCTTCAATTGTAAATTTATTACACTGTAGGATAATATAACTTTGAAATGTCAAATGTTTGCTTGCCTTTTAGTGAAAATAAAATAACTATAGTCCAACAACACATAGCTTCTATATAAATATAAAATGTATTGTAACTGTAATTGGAAATGTAACTGAGAAAAATGGCTTCAAGCTGCTTCTTTTTTAATGATTTGATATTTTTCAGCGACCTTGGTTCTAGAAATATGTTTGTGGAAATTATTTTTTAAGAATTAGTGCTTTAAGCCGGACCAAACAAACCACTAGGAAAGAACTTCAAATCCCATGAAGCATTGCTAATGCTGTAAATTAGACTTTTAGGACCACCTCGAAAACAAGATGGTAATCCTAATAAATAAACAAAACATATATATATATATTATATATTTATCACGATTCTCTGATTGGTGGAGAGTTCATGGCAGATTCATGGGTAATGTAGTTTTCCCCCAGGAACTCCAGTTAAACATGATTATTTTAAGAGTAAGTTGAAAGAGCGCAGGCTGGCGGCTTCGACAAAAGCATTTTCCATTGATTCACAACCTTGTAGCTTATTGTAATTGGTCTTTAAAGGTTTACAAGTTATCATTAAAAATCAATTCCTATATGGAGAAAATGAATGGCATTTTTTTACTTCCGGAACCTGAATTTTGCACATAAAGTGAATTCATTTAACATTTTCATGTTCATATACATAAAACGACTAATATACCATACATTGTTTAGAATTTATTTATTTAGTTTTTAATACAGAATGTAATTTTCAAAACTGAATAATTGGTTCTCAGATAAAGTATCACCCTGCATGTTCCTTTTTTTTTATAATAAACTACACATTTCTTTGCAGTAGGTTACGGAATGAGAAATAAAACATCTGCTGCCACAGGAAACATATTTTCATTTAGATAATTAAAAGAATGGTACTGAGACAAAAATATAACACCTTGATAAGATATACTTTTAGATTTAACATAATAATGCTACAATCATCTTCAAGTCATTGCTGGCCAAATTTACTACAGCAAAACTGATATTCAAAAATGTCAGTGAACAAATCAAGATCTGTATTATATCGCTTGCTTTCCAGATAGCCCTAAAAAGCTCTATTATGGCTCAAGTATGAATTAAATTCAGAACTCTCTTTTGGTTATCATCCTTAAAACTGAGTTAGTTATGACTTTTTAGCTACAATAATTAGGAATAATTGATTACTTAGTTATGATCCAGCACCATTACTTTGCTTCCATTTAAAAGCCCCTAAATCGAACCTGTTATACAATAATGTATACAAATGAAATGGTTTCTTCTAGCTTTTTATGCTATTAAAAGTGTTGTTGTTTAGCCATCTGGATATGCTGAAAGTAAAATGGCTTCAGTGTTTATTAAACCTTCCAGTTACATCATGCCTAGCTGAGTCACTGCCAGAGAGGGAATAAGGGTCCATAATTAAAGTGAAATGTCTTTTGCAGTCTCCTGGAGGTTATATTTTACTGAATCAGGTCGCAGATGTCATCATCATCTTCTCCTCTCCCAAACCTGCATCAGAAGAGACAAACCAGATAACAGTCAATTAACACAAGCTTTCTTATATCAAATAACTCATAATTAAGCTGTAATACTCGCTTGGATAACAGATTTGGCATTATTTTGACAGAATACAGTTGTTCCTTTGTAAAATGCTGCATTGATCTAGTTTAAATTTAATTACAGAATGGATTAAGAGGAAATATATACATTTATTTTTGTATAACTGACCTCTTGATGACAATGATAGAAATGTGTTTTGCAATTATCATACAAATAAATGAAATAATTATCTAGAGCCTGTATACAGAGGCAGTGAAACAATTGCTAGCCCTAGAATACAGTTTTTGTCCAGGTTGTTGACTGTACAGAACAAAAAATCCTGTGACAGATGGCTGCCGTGGGTTAAGCTCTCATAGGAATTAAAATGCCTACTTGCAGTGCTTTTCTCACAGATATCGACGTGAGCTCTCCTCCAATCCTGTCGTCTAGATATGTACCAGGATGACATGGCATTTTTTAGTCAAATGTTTTCTAACTAGCGCCCTGTTTCTCACAAGTTCCCAATGTTACCTTCAAAAGTGTGAATATGTCTAATTAAGGTTGGAATGCAAATACGAAGCTATTATGTAATATGAACATTCATATTGCTTCAGTGCACTTTCATTTACATCACACAAGCAAATTATTTAAATGTGATGATAGTGGACATGCGTTTACCATCAATGTGCAGACAATGTTCAAAATAACAAACTATTTCTGCAATATGTATGCATCCATCCTGTGCATAGGTTGCAAATTTTCTGTATGACCTGCTCCCAAAATGTGCAGTGTAAAACAAAGCATACTGCACAGAACACCATATCCCACAATGCAATGCTCTCCACTTTCTCTGTTTTTAGTTATCATATTTATTCCCAAGATTATGATTGGATGGTCCTCACAAAATGTGATGAGATCAATAATGTACCCCTCAGAAATAATTGATACTGATTGGTCAATTGTATTCAGCGATCAATTATTTCTGAATAATGACCATTGATGGAGTTCAGTGATTGTATTTTTGTCCATCATGTCAGGGTTTATTGTGCAAAAATGTCTGGATGACTGTGCATTATTCCCATACATGATGCCTAATGCTTCACTAAGTATACAGTGTATACTAACATGCAATATATACAGTGGTAAAGAAGAATGAAGCTTATGTGGAAAAAATGATTGAACACACCTGAAGGAATGCCGGGGATGTCAGTGTGGAATTGCTGACCAAAGACTCTTGTGCTTCATCAGCAGTTACGCTGTGCTGAGATCATTCTTTGTCATGTCCTGACTCTAGGATGCAATGCTAGATCAGCATTTCGCCAGAGTTTGGTTTACACACATCAAGTCATGGCTCACCCCGCAATGGCCTTGAGTCTCCCTCAAAAGATTTACTCCGGGACTCTGGGAGAAGCATCCCGTCCCCTTTTCTTTCACTTCTTCTAAGAAATAAAGCCACCCTTAGAAAGAAGCCATCACTGTTGCCATAGTGACAAACGTCTTTGTAAACAATGAACTCTTTATATACAGCTCTCAAAGCAACATGGCTGCCAAGTTACAAAAAAACAATCATGCCCCGACATATGATCATCCACACATAAGCACAAAGTTCTTCGATTAACATTTAAAATATATAAATACAGAAAAATATTTCTTTAGATGACATGATGAAAATGATCCAGCATCAGGAATAATGAATCTTTAGGTCATGACCATCAGTTTTTGTTGCTGTAGTTTGGTGATGAGGCTAGCATGTAGGCTCAAGCACAACTTATTTCTAGACAGATGTGCATGGAAAGAGCAGAAAAGTTGCACAGTTGCTCACTTCTCAACTAAATTTGCATTTAACTGAGCCTCCAGGGCCATCTTGTCGAAGGTGCGCATGTTTGTCTCTTCGCGAACACGATCTCGCACATGGAAAGATGCGCGGGCCACGGATCGGGCACTTTCCAACACTGCACGTTTTTCTCTGAAAATCTGTTCACTTTTTTCCAGTTTGCGCTCAATGGACTGCAACAATTCTAGCCGGCGCTGTTTCTCCTCTTCCTCTACACGTTGACGGTTGAGCCTCTGGAGTCGTTCTTTTTCCTGCCTGCTTTGCCCCGCACGTTGGGCCTTCTCCCGCGACCGCACTTCGGCCACTTGAGTGGCTTGTTGTCCTCGTCTTTCAGCTTCCCGAGCCTTTGCCTCCATCTGTTCCTTCTGCTGTTGCTCACGCAGCTCGGCGGCCCGTCTTGCTTTCTGGATCTGCTTCTCTTCTCGCTTAGCTTTCTCCTTTAGCTCTTGCCCACGTTTTTCTTGTATCTGCTCATAGTTCTCCAAAGACCTATTTAGCTTCTCGTCGGCTGTTCTCCGAGCTTCTTCCCGCTCATCGGCTTCACGACGTGCAATCTCTTGGATAAGAGCCGCATGGCGCCTCTTCTCGGCACGGTTGAGTCCACGACGCTCCTCTTGTGCTTGGTGCTCTCGCTCCTGCCGCTTCAGCTCAGCAATAGTCAGTTTCTCCTTGAGGAGCAGCTTCTCTTGCTCAAGAACAGCAGCTCGGTCCTCCTCCAGAGCTTTAAGGTTCTGTTCTTGTAATGACTTCTTGTGTTTCTCCTCACGAGCAGCCTGTTGCAGTTTCTGCAATCGGCTGCGTTCTTGTTGCTCAGCCAATTCCCTCCAACGCTCCTCACTTTCCACTGCTTGGCGAAGTTTGGCATCTGCAGCCTCTCGCTCCTGCTGGTTAAGCCAACGCTGCCGGGTAGAAACTTGCGACTGCCATGCTCGTTGGCACTGCTGCACGGCCCTCTGTTTCTCCCGCTCTTCGCGTTCCCGTCGCAGCTCCTCTAGCCGCTTCTCACTGTCCCATTGCAGGTGTGCTACGTAGCGTGTCTGGCTCATTATGTCCTCCTCTTGATACCTGGCAAGCATTAATGCAGCAATCTTTCGGTCACGTTCTGGAACAGCTTTAAGTCCTCTGCGTTTCACCTCCTTCACAATGCGCTCCACTTTTTGCATAGTCTGTGGAGAGTGGCTAAGGTCTCCCAAGCTTAAACTGCGACCCATCAGAGAGTTAAAGGTAGCTAAAGTGCGGGCACGAGGGCTTGATGTCTTAGCCCAGTGATCTCTTGCCCCTTCCCAGCTATAGGAAGAGGAAGCAGATTCAGAGGAGGTACATGTAGTAGTTGTGGTGTTCGTTGTTGAAGCAGTCGAGGAACAAAACGCGTCACGCCTTCGTTGCAAAGACTCCAGCGAGTGGCTTCTGCATTTAACCTTTGATTTGGAGATGATGTGTCCATTATGCTGTGCAAACGTACTTGTGATGCCATTGGCAGGACTTTGGACAGAAGATTTCGACACTATTGGGGCAAGTGAAGTTGATGTCCTTGGAAAAGGAGGTTTTTGTATTGATCTGGGGAAGGTATTTGGAGCCTTTGTAGGAGTACTGAAAGTTTTTTTTGTGGCCTGACCTCCTGGAGCTGACTGAATTGATCGTTGGATTACTGAAGGTTTTGAACATTGAGGTTTTCCCCCAGATTCTACTTCAAGGGTCTTGGGCTTTTTTGCAGACGTTCCTTTAGCAGTAGTAGCAGAGTTCAGTGGACTGGCTTTTGAGAACGGAGCAGAGCTGGATGATGACACTGTAGTAACCGGTCCTGATCCCGCTGGCATGCTTTTAGGATTAGATGTTGCCGATTGCTTTTTGGGTGCACCACTGCAGGTAGGTGCTATTTTGTGGGCTTGATTTGTTAAACTATGATTATTGTTAGCATTGACAGTTTCCTGTGACTTCTCTGAAGCCAGCGGACCACTGTTATTGTTGAGAGCTGCCTGCAGATTTCGCCTCTTCTCCTCTCTGATAATCCGCTCTCTCTCCTCTCTGCAGTGTCGGAGTTTAGCATGTCTATCCCTCTCAAATATCTCAAACATTCCTGTGGCGACACGCATGCTGCGGCCGGGTGCCTCTCGGGCAAAATCAGACAGTGGACGAGCCAGAAGTTCCACAGGTTTCACTCCACAACGTGCACATGCCTCGAGAGAGCGAGGGCTTGTCAGGACATACCGACTGCCTTCTGCTACTGGCGAGTCAAAATTGTAAAGGTCCAGATGTAGTTTTTGCTCTTCTGGTTGACTGTTTTGCTGCTGGCATGGTTCTTGAGAGCTCGGTACAGGATCAGTACTGGGCTCTGTCTGTGGGCTGGAATCCACACTAACATCTGTCTCTCTATCATCACCTGGCTCAGGTAGACATGGTGCTTCAGAGGCTGCAGCTGGGCTTTCAAACTGGGTCCCTCTGAATTTACTCTGGTCATCAGGTTCCAATGGATCCACCATGGTTCACTTGGGGAAAAAAACAGAAAGCAAAAAGAATTAATTCTGCAGTGTTTCAATGACAGCACTGGATAAGATTTTAGAGTGGAATCACAGGGATTATTATGTTCTGTCTAGAGATCAAGGCTTAAGAGTGCTATCTAAGGTTAAGGGACGCCATAAAGCTTGCACATGCATGCATATTTTTTACGCTCTGCTTCTGTATGTGATGACGGTTCTTGCCTCAGGGTAATTAAAAATAAGGTTACATGCATGCTGGGCAATATTAAAGAACTCATGCAGCTATTTTTGGAGTCTGTGATTCAGATGTAATCAAGCATGAATGTAAAACCATTTCAATATGCCTCATGTGCACTATATATCTATCTATCTACAGTATCTATCTATCTGCATCTAAACCTACGTAGCAGTTACTCACTCGTAAACAGAATTGTCACAATTTTGTTATTTTTTAATGTCATATTGCATATTTTTTATGCATGCAAATTCTATCTTGTTTCGTGCACTCCTTCACATTATTAGTGGCACTGAGGCTGTGTATATCGAAAGCCTCGATAAACAGCCTAGTTTTATAGGCCCTAAAAAGACAGATGTTGTTTGTACAGTAAAGAAACGCTGACTTTAAAGAAGTCTCATGTACAAGCACAAATGTACGCAGCATCTCTCTTCACAGACAGTTTCCAGAGCAGATGTTTTGTGTGCGGGCGCAATAATATCTGATTACATGAATGCGCAAGAAATCAAGAAATCCACAAGCACGCAGCGAACGACGATATTGCAAACACATCACAATAATAAAAGCCAGTCTTACCGTTATCAGGGCCCACTCATTCAGAGGGGATCGGGAGGCTGATATGTCCTCTCCTCCTCATCAAATGTGTTTTTGTGGTCGGTTCTCGTCTCGTTCTTTCCGTCAGCAGTCAGTCAGTCTCCACCTGCTGTTTGACACTCGCATCCTTGGCCGTGAAGCATCTGTGCTCCGCCTCCGTGTGACTGCGCTCTAAAAATATCGCAGATATTCAGCCCTTTGTCCTCACATTTTATGACCATATGAACGGAGAATGAGCGATTCTGCGATGCTGTCATGATGAATGTGCTGAAGGATGGACAGGCGTTATTTTATTTACGCATATCAGTGTTGTTGCTGTTACTTTAAATTCGGATTTAAAATGGATTTATAATGTAGCCTATCATGTTTCTGCAACATAAATAGTAATGCTAATAATAATATTTTTTTTATTATTATTAGCCTATTATTGTTATTATTATTATTATTATTATTATTTTAAAGAATTCACTGGAATTCAGTAGCCTAGTGGTTATTTTGGAGAAAAGGGGAAGTCTGTTTTTAATGCTGTAATAAGTATATGCATACACTAGAAGGCGCACTATGCACAAATATAATATGGCTCTGAGGAAATCTGCACAAAAGTGTCCAAATATCCTTTGTCCTAACTTTGAACAGCATCGGCGTTGTTTTATTATTTTAAACCTGACGTATATTTTGTGCAATATTTTGCTTGTAAGTTGAATGCTGCTGGGTTAAATAGTTTATCTAATGCAGTAGCATTTTTACATTTCTAACTACTGTATGTCTTAATTGTTTAGTTGGACACTGTATCATATATTTACAGGGAGTTTGGTAGGGTGTTATTCTTTTACTTTTTCTCTTTCATGGGTATAAATATATTGGTCACACTTTACAATAATGTCTAATTTGTTAACATTTGTTAATGCATTAACTTAAAAACTAACAATGAGCAATATTGACAGCATTTATTAAACTTTGTTAATGTTAGTTTATAAACATGTTCATGTTAGCTCACAGTGCATTAACATGAAACCTTATTGTAAAAGTGTTACCAATCTCTTTAATAGATAGAGGATTAGAGCTGAGCAGATGACACACTAATAACACCTGCTGGTATTAGAGCTGGGGAAAGCTGAGAAATCAAACAGAGATGGATGAAGTGAAGAAGATTAGTCATTTCTCTACAGCTTTGTCAAAACAACACGGCCAAGTATTTAACCATATACTTGTAAGACTGCCAGTAAAAATAACTTTCCACTCATACGCTTTCATGCAATTCATGAATGTCCATTATGTTATATATCCTTAATAGTGTTGCCGTTATGTATGCAAAAAACAGAAACTGCAATGGTACTGCAATGGCCTTTTGTATGTGAGGATGCACAATGAATGTTGTTGACAACTAGTAATATGAAGAGCAAATACTGTAAACAAAGCATGTTATAAGAGGCCAACAATCAAACAACTAATCTAAAAAAAAAAATTGTGACACTAAATTAATAGGCCTATGTAATTAGCATGGGTAGAAAATTAATATATGGGTATGGTTTATCACTGAAAATTGTATCTTTATATACTCATTAAACAGAATTATGGTAAGAATGGAACACTGTGGAAACAGCTTTCTTACGTGTACAGTGTTTTGCTCCGGGGGTTCGGCAGAACAGCAGTTTTCCCCTCCATTTGGCCTAAAACACTTTGTTTGTGGTCATCAGTTTGAAATGTTGAATACAAACACTGAGGTGTGTTAGATTTTTCGTTGCGTTGTTCTCTTTGTATTTACGATGCTTTTCCGCCTTTAGCTGCTGCCTACAACGCACTGAATCCTTCACTGGAAACACAAAGTAACTCACTCCCTCGAAACGTTTTCTCTTTGAATTCTTTCACCCGGGCCGGGAACAATACAAGTCGACACTATTATGACTAAAAGTTTGTTAAGAAGTGTTTCCTTCTAAAGCAGGGCAGTATTTGACCCTGGTAATGCTGGGCCCACACCACAAGATATTCGGGCCGATTTCTCCCCTTCCGGCAATCCTCAGTGAAGTCCTGATTATCTTGATGGTTCTACAGATTATCTGTGGTGTGAGGTGTGTTAAAGGGATACTCCACCCAAAAATGAAAATTCTGTCATCATTTACTCACCCTCAAGTTGTTGCAAACCTGCATGAGTTTCTTTCTTCTGCTGAACACAAAGGAAGATATTTTGAAGAACGATCGGAACTTTGGCACCATTGACTTCCATAGTATTTTTTTTTTTCTACTATGGAAGTCAATGGTGCCAAACAACTGTTTGGTTCCAATCGTTCTTCAAAATATCTTCCTTTGTGTTCAGCAGAAGAAAGAAACTCATACAGGTTTGCAACAATTTGAGGGTGAGTAAATGATGACAGAATTTTCAATTTTTGGGTGGAGTATCCCTTTAAGAGTGACCGAACCTGCTCGGAAGAACGTCGGAGCCGCCTTGATCAGTAACCGTAAATATTTAACATGCTGAATATTTACGATCAGAAATCCTGATGTGTGGGGGGAACCCTGACGACAAAGGCGTTCATACTCTTTTGATTGTCGGGTGGAACGAAACAATAACCAAACAGAAAGCGAGCTGACAGAAGACGGAAGCATAACAGCCGCAGTCATGGCACAGCACAGAGTGAAATGGATATGGACAAATAGCTGACATAGCTTATCATTTAATGAATCGACAGCCCATTGGCTAATCTTCAACATGTTTGCTGATAAACATTTGCTTTGGATTGATCTATTCTGTTTTATAGGAGAAGTCACAGACAATTGTGTGACAGGTTCGGTTTATGGCACTTCTCGTTCATTTCTATGGTATCTGCAAACAGTGATTGACTGTCGCACAACTATGAACGAAATTAAATGACGTCAATGCTGTGATGTGATTGGTTATCAAGGCACATGTGATCCAAGTTGGCCACCATTCTCCAATGGTGGAGCCACGGGCCCTCGTATCTCCCAATAATAAGACCATCTCTGGTTCACATCCTCGGACTGGGAATTATGGTTTTCAACACTAGCAACGCCTATGAATCTGCAGCGGTCATGGGGTACAACTAGTAGCTCTCGGAAATTTCCCATCTTACAAGCTGTATACGAGCTCTACGAGGAAGTGAACGCTTTTTACCAGTTGAAATCTTGTAATTACGGTAATTACAACATGGCATTCCCAGTGCATAATGGGTGTTAACATTCCCCTACCTCGTTCAATAGGGAAGACAATAGAATTTTTCTGTTTTCTCTAGTCAGGTAGCACCGATAAAAAAAAAAAATCACCTTTCAACTGTAAAGGCAACAAAGTTTGACAGACTGGTCATGAGATTTATCCAACAAATTATGTTTTATTAACAAAGTTCGGAAGGAACACGTTCAAATTGCCTATCCAATCAGTACAAGAGGAGGCATATATATGTACACAGCCGACTTATTTGTTAGTGTGAACTCATGAATAGCAAATCATTGCATTATCAGTTGTGCTAAATTAAATTTAAAAACAAACAGGATGCGTTTTAATTGGCATCCGGAGCCACTTTTCATGGACAAGGATTAGATAACTGGAGGGGGAGTCTGTGGTGGTGACCCACTAAACTTTTGACCCAGTGTAAGAACAGTGCGAGTTTAATTGGCCCCGTCCATGGACTCCATCAGAAAAGCTGTGAGACCGGGGTGACATCAGGGAACGTGCAGGATGCCTTGTCATTTGAGGGCATGAGATCTGGTGTGTATGGGAGATATAGCCATTGCACAGTTCACTGTTCACAATGGTATGTGCTGGGGGTCACAGAGAGGTGAGTTGCATGGTGTAGTGATGAAAATGGTTGGGGTTAGCGGATGGAGGCATATGGAAAGGTTTCTATGCCTTAATCAAGACACCACAGGGTTTTTTTTCCCCATCTGGATTGCATTTCAGTTATGAGCACTATTAGCTGATTGAATGACAGCTACATGAACCATGATGTCATGTCTAAATTGCTGCTAACATATAGTGGAATATAGAAACTTGACAGTGTAATGGTGAGTTTTTGTAGAATCCTCATGTTTAAACGTTGACGTATACACACAGTGCTGTAATCAAAATTGAATTGTAATTAAAGATGCAGTAAGTGATTTCTGAGAAACGCTGTTGAAAGTGAATCGGACCGAGCAGCACAACACACTTGTAGCCAATCAGCAGTGGGGGGCGTGTCCACTCATAATGGGGGAGGAGAGAGAGTGAGATTTGAAGAAAGACTGTAGAAAGAGAGATGGCTGAGAGACATTACAAAAGAGAAAAGCTCAGAGAGGAAATTCACTGGAAAAAGAAGGGATCGGGCAAGAGCTTTAGGACCCGCGTTAATATTAGAAAAACTTTCCAGTAGGGCTGTCAGTTAAACGCGTTATTAACGGCGTTAACGCAAACCCATTTTAACGGCGTCAATTTTTTTATAGCTCGATTAACGGTCTTTTTGGCCTAGCAAACTTTGTCGTTTTTTCTCATGCTTTTGCAACAGGATGCGGCATGCACGGCGCTGCGCTATGAAACCCATTCATTTCAATGGCTTGAGCCGCGCGAGGACGTTTTGTTGCTTCGTCGACCAAAGCGCAAGTGGATCTAGCTACACCGGAAACAAAACAACAGGCACGCCGCACACACTTGTTTAGGCTTGCGAGCTGGCCAAATAGTAGGTTAACGTTACGTTTTGAGTGGATGACGAGCACGAGACGCAGAAATGGATGCCAATAAGATTCTGAATGGAAAGTTTACTTTTAAAAAGTTGCCAAATGGTTCCATTGACAAGACCAAAGTGATCTGTGTGTTTTGTCGTTGTGAACTGAGCTATCATCATCGCAGCATGTCCAGTCTGAAATACCACTTGATGATGGCCAAGCGCACACACACACACACACCTGATGCGAATTCTCCGCCCCCTCGTCAATATCAGGACCTCGTCAGTATTTCTTTCACCCTTTTATTAATGGACAGTGTTACATTGAGAGATTATTTGCTCCAAGTGAGAATGTTAGTGTGAAATTGAACACAGCATATGCCAATGTTGTTTTCAATAAAAAACATTTGCACAAAGCAAGCCGATCCACTTTTCCATGTTGATAAGAGCATTAAAATGAGAAGAAATAATGAGACAAAAAGAAATCAAGAGACATTTAGAATAATATGTGTGATTAATTGCGATTAATCGCGAGTTAACTGTGACATTAATGCGATTTTATCGCGATTAAATATTTTAATTGTTTGACAGCACTACTTTCCAGCGCTGGAGA